CAATGTGCTCCTGTTTAAAAAGGAGCCAGGTATGGTAGCTCACACCTGTAATCCCAGCACTTTGAGAGGCTGAGGCAGGCAGATCCCCTGAGGTCAGGAGTTCGAGACCAGCCTGACCAACAGAGTGAAACCCTGTCTCCACTAAAAATACAAAAATTAGCTGGGCATGGAGGTGGGTGCCTGTTATCCCAGCTACTTGGGAGGCTGAGGCAGGAGAATCACTTGAACCTGGGAGGCAGAGGTTGCAGCGAGCCAAGATTGTGCCACTGCACTCCAGCCTGGCAACAGAGGAAGACTCCATCTCAAAAAACAAAAATAAAAATAAATGAAAAGGTTTCAGTGGCCTCTGTTGCATTAAAATAACTATAAAAACAAGTAAGATAAACATTTGGCACTCATAGCTGACCAATTATTGTCACAAATTGGGAGGAACAGTAATGAATTGCTACAATTATATAATTAGATTGAAATATAAAATTGATACACTAGATATATAATGCCATTAGAAACAGAGTAGGCATGCTCGCCTAAAAAAAAAAACCCCTTTATTAAATATCAAAAATACAAGGTTTATACCTATCAAAAAATAAGGCAGCTATACTTTTCAGTGCAGTTACTGCTTTCTGAGATTGCTGGAACGCTGAACCCACCCTCTACATCAGAATATTTGGCAATGTCTGGAGACATTTTTAATTGTCACAACCTTGGGGTAAGGTGCCACTGGCAACTTGTGGGCAGAGGCCAGGGATGCTGCTACAGAGCACAGCACAGCTCCCCCATAAGAAAGAATTATCTGGTCCAAAAATGTTAAAAATGCCATTACTCTATACTATCAAGACCTCTCCCTACATCATGGTAGAAATTGAAATTTCTGGAAAACTGACAAAATGAGAGCTTAAGGGTAGGGAGCAGTTAATCACAGCACAGGCACAAGTGTGGAAGATTGTGCCAGAGCCTCTGAGCAGTTCTAGATAAAAGCTAGTAGGAATTAGACTAGGAATAGTGCAAAATCAGTCAGCCATCCAGCTATAGATCTGAGATAGAAATTCAACTGTCATCCAAATCAATAGTAAGTGAAGCCAAGGGCAATTCACATAGTGTTTACATAGCTCTCACAAGGGTACGTAACAGAAACATATCCTCAGATATACAAAGCCTCAAAAGACATATCATCTATATACACTTTTTGAGGAAAATAAATTACCTGAGACCTAGCTCCAACAGGCCAACAGACTCAAAATTAAGAAATAAAAAATAGGGAGGTCTGGACAGCAAAATTCAGGAATCCAGTTTAAATGTATGTTGTCAGATTTATGGGTAAAGCACTGTTCTGTAATACTTCCTTCAACTATTCCTTCTGCTTTGTAAGGATCTGTTAGAAGTTACATCTTTCACTTCACAGTTTGGATGAACACTTAAAAGAGCAACTGTTGTTGCATACAGTAACACATTTGGGAAAAGCCTTGGAGAATGACTAAACCACAAGTTTTATTATTGAATTTATTTTTCTCCCTAAGAGTTCCATAGAGGCTGACCAGTCATTTTTCTTTTATTGTGAAATAATTCAAGTAAGAATTTTCCTGCATCTTTGAAATGAATATTGAGTGACTTGGGTCACTAAGATTTTTTTTTAATTGGTAAAAATATTGCATTGATATCAATTATAATCAAGACCTTGTCATTTTTCCATCCAGGATGTATAAATGCTCCTTTTTTTTTTTTGGAGGAAGGGAGGAAGGCAGGAAGGGAGGGAAGGAGGAAGGGAGGGAGGAAGGAAGAAATGAAGGAAGGAAGGGAGGAAGGGGGGAGGGAGGGAGGGAGGGAGAGAGGGAAGGGAAGGAAGGAAATCAAGCAATGAGAGAGACATTGCCGACCTGGATCTAGATGTTTACAAGTTGATTTCTTTTTTATTTATTTTTTTATTTTTTCTTTTTTTTTTTTGAGAGAGAAGGAAAGAAAAAAAAAGAGTAAAGGAGAGGGAGAAAGAGGAAGAGAAAGAGGGAAGGTGAACGGAAATATTGCTTTATTCTGAAAAAAAATGGGTATTAATAATGGCCAATCAATGTTACATTTAAACCTATGAGTAGGTGTGATGTGGTATTGACAAGAATGTATATTTTGTGTATTTGAAGTGGAGAGCTCAATAAATATTTACTAAGTTTACTTGTTCCGGATCTGAGTTTGAGTCCTTAATATCCTTATTAATTTTCTGTCTCACTGAATCTAAGTCTCTATGTATCTGGGTGTTAGGATCGTTAGCTCTTGTTGTTGCATTGATCCTTTTACCACTATATCTTTGTTGCTTTAAAATCTATTTTATCAGATACGAGAATTGCAACTCCTGCTTTTTATTTATTAATTTATTTATTTTTGCTCTCCATTTGGTTGGTAAATCTTTCTTCATCCCTTTGTTTTGAGTCTTTGTGTATCCTTGCATGTGAAACAGGTCTGGATGTAACATGCCGTTGGGTTTTGGCTGTGTCTTTTGATTGGGGGATTTAGTCAATTTAAATTTAGGGTTACTGCCATTTGATGTTAACTGGCTGTTTTATCCATTCGTTGATGTAAATTCTTCTTTATGTTGGTGCTCTTTACTTTTTGGTATATTTTTAGAAAGGCTAATACTGGTTGTTTCTTTCTGTGTGTAATGCTTCTTTCAGAAGCTCTTGTAAAGCAGGCCTGGTGGTAATAAAATCTCTGAGTACTTGCTTGTTCATAAAAGATTATATTTTTCCTTCAGTTGTGAAGCTTAGTTTGGCTGGATATGAAATTCTGGGCTGAAGGTTCTGTTCTTTGAGGATGTTGAATATTGGCCCCCCACTCTCTTCTGGCTTGTAGTTTCTGCTGAGAGATCTGCTATAAGTCTGACAGGCTTCCCTTTGTGGGTAACCTGACCTTTCTCTCTGGCTGCCCTTAGTATTTTCTCCTTCGTTTCAACCCTGGTGAATCTAATGATTATGTGCCTGTGGTTGCTCTTCTTGAGGAATATCTTTGTGGTGTTCTCTGTATTACCTGGCTTTGCTAGTTTATTCAGGAAAATTTTCCTGAATAATATCCTGAAGGGTATTTTCCAGCTTGGATTCATTCTCTCCATTGCATTCAGGTACACCTATCAAACGTAAATTTGGTCTTTTCATATAGTCCCACATTTCTTGGAGACTTTGCTCATTCCTTTTTATCCTTTTTTCTCTCATCTTTTCTTCACGTTTTATTTCATTAAGTTGGATTTTGACCTCTGATATCCCTTCTTCTGCTTGAACAATTCGAGTGTTTAAACGTGTGCATACTTCTCGGAGTTCCTGTATTGTATTCTTCAGTTCCATTAATTCACTTATATTCCTCTCTAAGTTGTCTATTCTCATTAGGATTTTGTCAAACCTTTTTTCAAAGTTCTTAGTTTCTTTACGTTGGGCTACAACATGTTCTTTTAACTCACAGAAGTTTCTTGTTATCCATTCTTTGAAGCGTGATTCTGTTATTGGGATGCGCTCGTTCTCCATCAAGACTTGTTCCATTGTTGATGTGGAACTGTGATCCTCTTTGAAGGGAGAGGCGTTCTGATTTTGAGTATTCTCAGCCTTTTTACGCTGGTTTCTTCCCATCATTTTAAATTTATCCTCCTGTCGTCTTTGAAATTACCGACTTTCAGATTAGGTCTCTTGAGTGGACATCCAAGTTGTTAGTTCCCAGGGCCAGAACAGTGGCGTTAAGACTGATGGTGCTTTTCTGCCCAGGATTCTCCTGTCTGGCTTCCTTCTTGTGTCCAAAATAGGCGACTTTGCCTTCCTGGGGCTCCAAACCTCGGTCAGAAGGGGAACCAGTCTCGTTTACTCTGTGCTGAGAGCTGCCGCGCCGAGGTGCCATCACAGCCGCTGCGCCGGCCTCAGGAGTCGTGCTGAGGGCCCATGTGGGTCCTCCAAACCTCAGTCCGAAGGGTAGTCAGCCCTGTTTGCTCTGCTCCGAGAGCTGCCACACCAAGGTGCCAGCGAAACCATTGCGCTGGCCACAAGAGTTGTGCTGGTGACCCATGTGACTCCTCCACTGGGGATCTTCTGCTCCATGAGCGACCTGAATTTGTCTGAAAGTGTGGCGTCCTCTAGTTCTCTGCGCTTTAACTGAGAGCTGCGATCCCGAGATGTTAGTGATCAGCCATTTTGGATCCTCCACCTTTTATAAATGCTCCTTTGTTAATAATGTCCAAGAATCAGTATGGACACAAAAGGTTTAAAACTTAACTATATATATACACATAGAATACGAGCATAGAAAAAACATTGAAGGAATGTTAGTGATTATCTCCCAGTAGAGTATTTCTAGGTGACTTTCATTTTCTGTTGTATACTTTCTTGCATTTTGCAAATTTTCTACATGAATAATGTATTATTTTTATAATAAAAAGTTGTAATCCACATGTATAGATCAATACCTACTGTGCAAACAAATGCGAGGAAAAAGACTAGAAAAAAATGAACCAAAGGTAATTTTCATTCATTTGTTCATTCTTCCAATGGATACTTACTTAGTAAGCACCTACAGGTATCTATATCACGTATGGTGCAAGGCACTTGCCAAGGCCAGGTGTTGAACACTGCTATCTCCAGGTGTAAACTTTTAGTGTTTTTCTTTCTTCTTTTGTGTACTTTTCAAAAGGTTTAGACATAAAAACATATTTATGAATATATTTTTATTTCTAAAACAGTGAGGCCTTATAATCATTTGAAAAATATTCTCATAAAATTAAAGTTTAGAAAGGTGTTGGTAATCTGATTGTGTAGATATGTTCCAACAGATAAGCTCTGGAGACATTCACTTATTGTTGAAGTATGTAGGCATTCTCCATACCCTACCCCTTGTAAAATTCATTTCGTTAGCAAACAGAAATCATTCTTCTTAGAAAAAAACTTATTTTTTTAGTAGGATTTTATACTACCTTTAATATCTGCCTATCTTAATATAAGTACTGTACATTTTTTGAAGAACAAAATTTTACATCTGTTTAGTATGTTATTTAAATATAAAGCATTTTTAATAACAGAGTTAGAGTAAGAAATATATTTAAAAGTGTAAAATGAGTCTAAATTTACATAAATACAAAATACTTATACCATGCCTTTTGTGAATGATATTTATCTTTTTTCACTCTTTTTCCTCTGTTTTTCTTCAGCTTGTTTTTCAAAATAATCTTTAAGGAGATGGTTCAGCTGTGGTTCATACTGGCTTGCATGTTGCAATCCATCTTCCCTTCCTTAAAAAAACATATAACATTGAATAACCAAATGCTTATATATCATTATTTAAAAATACATATATATATATATCACTTGAGACAACTATTCTTTATTTTACAGAGGTTTCAATATTATCATTGTCAGTTATTTCCCACAGTGGCAAATTCAGAGCTGTTCCTGCTTGAAGCACCCCAAACATTAACCCATAAAAGTCAGTTTGAATTTGAAATGAGTGCATTATTTATTTTACCTTCACAATGTTGAATCACACGTCCCCACAGTCGATTTTTCCTCAAACAGACTAAATTTCCCACAATCAGCAAATGCCTCTTTCCTCTGGTCAATGCAACATTCATTCTTTTTTCTGAATCAATAAATCCTACTTGTCTTGTCCTTACACAGGACAAAATAATGATTTCCTTTTCAGCTCCCTGAAAAGCATCTACTGTGGACACCTGCACAGTTTTAATATCAGGATGGTCAAAGTCTACAGTACTGAGTAAATGACAAAGCTGTGGAGGAAAAGACAGCAATCATGTAGTGAGAGATTGTGAAGCACTAAAGCCACTGAACCTGCTCAAAGCAACCATCGTAACTGAACTAATAGTAAATAATTTTCATTTTTCTTTCATGACTCATATAGACTGGGCTAGTTTCTAAAATGATAAATGACTAGATGACAATATTAATTGTGACACAAAATCAAAAGCTATTTATCTACTGCTGGGAAACTCATTCGGATATGCTAATTTGGAGCTGATAAACTAATAATGAAACAGATGAAAAAATACTAAAAGGAAAAAGAAAAATCTAGTTAGAAGTAATTGGCTCATGTGTACATTAACATCTTGTATCTATCCTTGATTTGCTGATAAAATGTAATAATAATAAAAGAACATTTTGGATAACAGAGATTCAATCCCATCTGTCCACAAAGCATACACCATATTTTTTTCTCGCTAATTCATTTGTTGCATTTTTGTCCCAACAGCTGTAAACTAAATTTAATTAAACCTTGTTAAGTTTACATTTAATTATACAGAAAAAAAGCCAGACCAAAAAAAAAAACCCAGAATGTTTCTTTTTTAATACACTAATTATAGTACCAAAAGTTTTTCAGGCACCAAACCAACTACTATAAATGTAATATCAAATATGGTAATATGTAATTATAATATCTAATATATGACAAATATTGTATTATGTGATACCAACCTTATACATTTGGGATTTGTATAATGTTATCACGCCAATCATAGAGCCCGCTATTCCACTTGCAATCAGTGATTGAATCAGCTTGAGTGTAAAAGCAGCTTCTGCCACATTATGAAAGCTGTTATCTCTTTCAAGCTGGAGTAAGAAATAGATCCTAAATTTTATTTCCCAGAAAGGCTATGGAAAAAACAAGTAAATTCATACAAACAACAACAAAAATTAAACCAGGAACCTAAACCGTGTTGACTCTCATCAACATTAATGTCATTTACCTGTTCTAGTCCTTTAACATTATAAAAACACAGGGTTGGTAGCCATTCCAATAAAGGGCTCCTCTCTATTTCTGTTACACCATTCATGAGATTTCCTTCGTAAAACATATCATTAGCAATAGCACTGATTGCAGGGTGACAACGGTATTGAGTTCTCAACAGAACTGGCTTGTGACCCTAAGAAATTTAAATGAAGAAAAATAAGAAATTAAAATGTAACATTTTTTATTCTTCTAGGGAAAGTAAAATTATATTTTTAATATTAAAAATATTGCTATATTGTGGTCTTAGGAGATGAATACAAACATGATAGAACAGACTATAAATAAAAATATTTTTTAAATTACTAAAAATATGTTCATATTAAACTATTAAATTAGAAAATTATAAAATGTAAAAAATGTCAACCTTAGACTTATCTAATAAGTTTGGCACCTAACATTATTATTATTTATTTATTTATTTTTTAGACAGTCTCACTCTGTAGCTTAGGATGGTGTGCAATGGCACGATCTCAGCTCACTGTAGCCTCTACCTCCTGGGTTCAAGCGATTCTTCTGCCTCAGCCTCCTGAGTAGCTGGGATTACAGGCACCTGCCATCATGCCCAGCTAATCTTTGTATTATTATAAAGAAAGGGTTTCACCATTTTGGCCAGGTTGGTCTTGAACTCCTGACCTCAGGTGATCTGCCTACCCTGGCCTTCCAAAGTGATGGTGTGAGCCACCACACCCAGCCAACATTATCCTTTTATAGTATATCTGGAGTTGGTCTAACACCAAATTGAAAAGATTCTCTTAAAAAAATTAGGAGGTATTATAGATATCTCATTATCTTCCCTCATTGAGTAAAAGCCATTTTTCATTCTGAATCTTCAAAGAAGTTTCAGATTTTGTTAATGCATCATAAAATCCAAGTCCTATCTACTTTAGGGCTCTTCGAGCAAAGAGTTCTGTAGTGTTGTTAAACATTTTCAATAGCTACAAAGTACTCTAATAATAATACATATATAACTAAATGCAGGATTAAGGACCACAAGGAAAAAGAATCTTCTATGGAAAAAAAAAAAGGGAAATATCAATGACAGTACTCTTTAGGGCATACATTTGTTTAAGTTTGTAAGTCCAAGTCAACAAGCAAGTGAAACTGTTGACAGAAATGTCAAGTATAAAAATGCTGAAAGACAATAAATGCTCTGCTTTGAGCGGGCATAGTGGCTCATGCCCCCGTAATCCCAACACTTTGGCAGGCTGAGGCAGGCAGACCACCTGAGGTCAGGAGTTCAAGATCAGCCTGGCAAACATGGTAAAACACAAAAATTTCTCTATGAAAAACACAAAAATTAGCCAGGCATGGTGGCAGGAACCTGTAAAATCTGCTACTTGGGAGGCCGAGGCAGAAGAATTGCTTGAATCTGGCAGGCAGAGGTTGCAGTGAGCTGAGATGGTGCCACTGCACTCCAGCCTGGGCGACAGAGCTATTTATGCACTAGACTCTATATTTATGTACTCCAGCCTGGGTGACAGAGTGAGACTCTATATTTATATTCTATATTAAGTTATATTTATGGTATGGTTTCAACTATGTACAAATACATGTATTTGATATAGGCATATAACCCTAGGATAAAAGATAGAAGGAAAAATACTAAAATCTTACAGAGTTTTCTCTTAAGGCCAGTGAGGTTATTATAGATGTTTTGTTTTGTTTTTACCTTTTTTCTTTCTTTTCTGAGACAGCGTCTCGCTGTTGCTTAGGCTGGCCTCAAACTCCCCAGGCTCAAGCGATCCTTCTGCCTCAGCTTGCTGAGTAGCTGGGACTACAGGTGCCTGACATCCCACCCAGCTTTAACTATTTCTTTCTTTCCCTCCTTCCTCCCTCCCTCCGTCCCTCCCTTCTCTCTCTCCCTTTCTCTTTCTTCTCTCTCTCCTTATACTTCCTTTCCTTTTCCTTTCTTTCTTCCTTCTTGCCCTTCCTTCCTTCATTCCTTCCTTTCTTTTATTTCTTTCTTTCAGTGGCGAGATCATTGCTCCCTGCAGCCTTGAACTCCTGAACTCAACTAACCCTCCCACCTCAGCCCCCCAAGCAGCTGAGATTAAAGATTATAGGCACAAGCCGACATACCCAGACTGCCTTTTCTCTTTTCTGCAGTTTCCACACTGTCTATAATGAGTAGTACTTTTATTTCTTTTACTTTTAATAATTGTGAACTAGTTCAAATATACAGAAAGCAAAGAAATAATATTATATCCATGAACTTACCACCAGGACTTGACACTGGCCATATTAAGTCATTTTTGTTTTGGCTCTCTCTTTTGTTAGATAAAATATGACATACATAGGTAAAGATCCTCCTTCATTGCTTTCCTTTACCACCTTTCCCAGAAATAACCCCAGTCTTGATTTTGTTTTGTGGAAACATGTTTACTGTATTGGTATGAATCCATAAATAACATATGTTATCTTATGTCCTTTTGAAATTCTCATAAATGGCATTTTACTACAATTATTCCTTTGCATTTGCTTCTTCCAACATCCACTATGTTTCTGAGAACTGTCTATATGGATCAAGCTCATCCACAGTAACTGTTTTTATTCTACTCTGTGACTAAACTACTTTTTTATTTATCCCTTATTTGCCCTTTTAGAATTCCCCCAAATAAAAACCTATTTCATATTTTAAAAAACATTTAAATAGGTATATGAAAAAGGGCAGAACAGTATACAGAGTACACTACCATTTTTAAAACAGGAAGGGAAAATCTTATGTATTTGCTTATAATGGCATAAAATATCACAAGAAATGTACAAGAAAGGGACAACAGTTGCTTTGGAGGAAAGAGAATTAATAGTTGGGAGACAGGAGAAGAAGTCTTCACTATCTCCACGTTTTCTGGTTCCTCTTGAATTTTGAACTATAGTCATTTGAAATATAGTCATAATTCCTATAGGTCAAAAAACCTATTCAAAAATGTTTTAAAACTTTAAATAACTTTTTATTTTAAAAATTTTGGTAGAGGCGGGATCTCACTCTAGTACAAGGGCTGGTGTCGAACTCGTGGCCTCAAGTGATCCTCCCACTTCAGTCTCCCAAAGTGCTGGGATTTACAGGCCTGAGCCACCATGCCCAGCCCTTTTTTAAGATTTTGTTTTTAGTTAAGATTTTTTTTAAAAGCTTTGAAAAAGTCTGATACAAAAGAAGTTGGACACTGCCTTGTCACAGGAGAGTAGAAAGTTTTGCAATTAAATTCAATCACAACAGCTCAAGACAACTGAAAGCTTCATTCTTCACAAAACAGAATACAATTGAACTCAAAATTCAATGCAACTTGAAACTCAATCTAAGGGAGAACTTCTTAATTAAGAAGGTAGAATAAAGCTGTCTTGTAGAATCCATTCTCCAATATATAAAGGTACAAAAAATACAAAAACAACAGCAAAGAAAATTCAGCAATTATGCAACCAAGAAAGGTTTACAGCCAACCCAATGTCATAAACTTCAAAAAGTGCTAGTCATCAAGAAAGAAACAAAATTCTGGGGTGGAAGGGGAAAATGCAGCAAAGTGAGCCAGAATTCACATGATGGTAATAGTTCCTAAGAATAATGAAAAAGGGAACGTGAACTGGGCAGTTTTTAGCAGAAATGAAGGCTCAAGAACTGTGTCCCTTTTCCAGAGGGGGGATACTCTTGGGCCTCAGATGTCCTATCAGTTTGATGGGACACTACATAATTTCAGGGTACTGAGAAAACAGAGAATACAGATCTTAGAGAGCATCTGATATCCAAGCATGAACACCAGAAAATGAAACAAGAATGGCAACTATATAAACATAGTGTTTATACAGTTGTATAGTTTGTATAGAAACAGTGTTCTGTCTCTGCCATGTGAGGATACAGCAAGAAGGTGGCATCTACAAGCCAATGACCAATGAAATAGAATAGAAAGTCCAGAAATAAACCCTTGTATATGTGCTCAACCAATTTTTTACAAGGGTTCTAATACAATTAAATGGGGAAAGGGATAGTATTTCAACACATGGTGTTAGGAAGCCTGTATATCCACATGCAAAAGAATAAAGTTGGACCCTTATCTCATACCATATACAAAAATTAACTAAAAATAGATAAAAGACCTCAACATAAGAGCTAAAATTATAAAATTCTTAGATGAAAATATTGGAGAAAATCTCCATGACATTGGATTTGGCAACAATTTCATAGATAGAACACCAAAAGCACAAGCAACAGTATAAAAAATAGGTAAATTGAACTCATCAAAATTAAGAACTTTTGTGCATCCAAAGATACTATTAAGAAAGTGAAAAGACAACAAAAAAAATGGAAGAAAATATCTGCAAATCATATATTTGAAAGGGAATTCATTTCCAGAATACATATTTTTTTAAATCTCCTATAACTCAACAACAAAAAAAACAAACAACCCAGTTAAAAAATGGGCAAAGGACTCAAATAGGCATTTCTTCAAAGAGGATACACAAATAGCCAATAAGCACATGAAAAGATGCCGCAATGAGAGTCCCTTTCACATCATTAAGATGGCTTTGAAATTCAAAAACCAACAAGAAGTGTTGGTGAGAATGTGGAGAACTTGGAACCCTTGTACACTGCTGTTGGGAGAGTAAAATGGGTGCAGCTGCTACAGAAAAATTTTGTTTGTTCCTCAAAACTTTAAACATAAAATTATCATGTGACCCAGCAATTATATTTCTAGGTATGTATTGAACTGAAAGCAGGGATTTGAGCAAATATATATCAATGTTCACAGCAGATAATTCACAAGAGCCAAAAGGTGAAAACAACGCAAATATCTATCAACAGAAATGCAGTACATACATGTAACAGAATATTATTTAGCCTTATAAAGGAATGAAATTCTGATACATGGTACAACAAAGATGAACTATGAACACATTCTGCTAAGTAAATGAGACAGACGTAAAATGACAAATACTGTATGACTCTACTCAAATGAAGCACCTAGAATGGCAAATTCATAGAGCTAGAAAGTAGAATAGAGGTTACTAGGGGCTGAGGGAAGGGGAAATGAGAAATTATTGATTAATGGTTCAAAGTTTCTGTTTAGGATAATGAAAAAGTTCTGGAAATGGACAAGTGATGGTTGCACAATATTATGAATGTACTCTAAAGTAATAATAATAATATAGTACCTGTACTGCTACAATATGAATGAACCTCAAAAAGTGAAAGAAAACAGACACAAAATATCATATATTATATGATACCATTTATGTAAAATATCCAGAATAGATAAATCCATACAGAGAGAAAGGAGGCTGGTAGTTGCCAGAAGCTGTAGGGAAGAGGAAATGGACAGTTAACTGCTAAATGGGTATGGGAGATTATTTTAAAGTGATGAAAACATTTTGAAACCAGATAGAGGTAGTGGTTACACAAGAAACTGTGTTACTAAATGCTACTAAACTGTTCACTTTAAAATAGTTTCTGCTATAGAAACCGCATGCTCTAAAGAAAAAACAATTTTTTTAAGAAATAGTTTTATGTTAGATGAATGCAGTGGTTTGAATGTGTCCCTCAAATTTCATGTGTTGGAAACTTCATCCCCAATGCAACAGTGTTGAGAGGTAGGACTTTCAAAAGGTGATTAGGCCGTGAGGATTCTGCCTAATCCTCATGGTTTAATGCCATTATCACATGAGTGGGTTCCTCATAAAAGGATGGATTTGTGAATGGATTAATGCCATTCCTGGTGTACGTGTGTGAGTTAACAGATTAAGGCCATTATCACGAGTGTATTCCTCATAAAAGGATGAGTTTGGCCTCTTGCACTCTCCTGCTCTTCCATCTTCCACCACAGAATGACAATAAAGCAAGAAGGCCCCTAACAAATGTGAGTCCCAGGTCTTAGACTTCTCAGTCTCCAGAACTATAAGCAATAAATATCCATTCTTTATAAATTACCCAGTCTGAGGTTTTTCTGTTATAGCAGCACAAAATAGACTAAGACAGCAAACTCCACTCCAATTAAAAAATGTTAATAATTAATTTAAAAATTATTTGCAATGTGTAGTGTTCCATGTAGATAATAGAGGCATTATAGGGTTTTTTTGGTTTTAGAGCAAAAGCTGTATACTCCTACCCGCTACTCAGGTAAATAAGGAAAATCTTTTTATAAAAGGGCACTTAAATTACAGGGTTCCACTTGACTTTTTTTGTAAACCTTTATTACAACAAAATTGTTATTAATTAATTGGAGTACAACTGATGTTATACTCTAATTATACATTATTTTGAGGCAGAACTAAGTCTTCTAACATTTTCATTGTCTATCAACACACGCACACAATGCATAATCAATAAATGATAATTCTGTAAGAATTTAGCAGTTGGTACCATTAAGCAAAGTCGATCAAAAAGAGTTTGTTCCAATCCATTTCCATGAGCTGCATCAGAACCCTGAATAGTAGGAGGTAGCTGTTTGGGATCCCCAACAAGAATCAGTTTTTCACACTCAAACCTAAAACAGAATTTCAAAAATTAATCTAAGCAATTAAAAAACAGTGCATTAACATCATTTATTGCGCTGTTTGCCAAAACTGTATTTCGAAATATTCAAATGCTATGAAGTATCCTGAGTACTAATAAAGCTTAGCCGTGCTATTAACTGCATTAAAGGCTTTTAAAAGCTATGCAATAAAGACTCTTGTACATAATTTATCCTCCTCCCACATAAAACCTAGTAGGTGCCCCTTGCCTCTGCATGGAATTAATATTTCACAGAGCATATTTGGGAAATACTGGTTTTTAGACTCCATAAACTCTTGGAATTAGAGTCTTTCTTGGAAGTCATTTAGCTTAAACCCTTGTTTTAGAAGTGAAGTAAATTGGGTTCTTAAGAGTGAAATGTCTTCCTAAATAGGAGTAGGATACAGTGGGGAAAAAAAAATCAAAGTTTTATTAAAAAAAAAAAAAACTATATCTAAATTTCAACTCCATTATACTTTAGAGACTCAGCAAGTTATTTAATCCTTTCATGTTTCAGTATTACTTTTTTTTTCTTTTTTGAGACAAGGTTTTACTCTGTGTCACCCAGGCTAGAGGGCAGTGGTGTGATCTCTGCTCACTGCAGCCTTGACCTTTTGGGCTCAAGCAATCCTCCCACCTCAGCCTCCCAAGTTGCTGAGACTTTAGGCATACACACTATCATGCCCAACTAATTTTGTATTTTTTGTGGAAACGGGGATTTGCCATGTTGCCCAAGCTGGTCTCAAACTCCTGGACTCAAGTGATCCACCTGCCTCAGCCTCCCAAAGTGCTAGGATTACAGGTGTGAGCCACTGCACCCAGCCTATGCTTCAGTATTGTTAGTAACTTAGAGGTAATAATAACTTGTGTGTCTATTTTAAGGATTAAATGAAATATGTAATGTGTTTAGTATATAGTAGGCATTCAACAAGTACTACTCCTCTACCATTTGCAGCTCTTTCATCCTTGGCCCCTGAGTAGGATAACCAACTAATCCTAAAATTTGAAAGCCCCATGATCCAGGAATCTTCTAAGTCCCAAGCAAACCATAATAGTTAGTACCTTACTCTCTCATTAAATGGGGACACAGCATAGGCTAGAACTCAGACCTACTGAGTCCTACTATTCTTTTCATTATCTTTAGGATTCCTTAATAAGAGATGCTTTAAAAGCACAATGTTTCAATTGGCTAGGACAGCTTAGAAGATTTCATGGTCCTCTAGTTTTAGTAGACAAATTTTTATTTTCAATTTGTTTTTCTTTATATGCTTTATATGTTTTCATTGTCTAAAATTATTTACAAAACTTAAACACTTGGATTATATTAAGGTAGGAAAACTGAAGGACATTCTTCAACAATGGAGTTAGGTTCTTAAACTATGACTAAAGAGCACTTTTTCTTTTTCTTTTTTTTTTTTTTGAGACAGAGTCTTGCTCTGTTGCCCAGGCTAGAGTGCAGTGGCATGATCTCGGCTCAGTGCAACCTCTGCTTCCCGGGCTCAAGTGATTCTCATGTCTCAGCTTTCCCAGTAGCTGGGATTACAAGCATGCACTACACACATCCAGCTGATTTTTGTAATTTTAGTAGAGATGGGGTTTTACCATATTGGCCAGGCTGGTCTGGAACTCCTGGTCTCAAGTAATCTACCTGCCTCGGACTCCCAAAGTGCTGGGATTACAGGTGTGAGCTACAATGCCCAGCCTAATGAGCACTTTTAATCTAGTTGAGAAATCTGCAAGTTTCTACTTGAATCCTAGCACTAGGGCTATAGTATGTCATCCAAATGTCTAAACTGTGATCTAACAAAACTTTTATACATCAACCTCCTAAAATTCTCCTCTGTATTCTTTTTAAAAATCACTTTACTATTTAAATTGTTAAGAATTTTCACAAAAGTTTGGTAAAGGATTGAACTGCAGAAACGTTTGATATAATTGTGACATCTGAGTACCCTTGGGGAAAGAATCTTATAGGTTACCTTGCAATGGGAAGGAGAGAGGCTGGTTCAGTTATCTGACTACACTCGTCCAGCACAACTACTGGAAATTTAAGATCATTCATGCATGGGAATGGGCAGGCTGCACAGGTAACTCCAACTACTTGAACCTTTATTACAAGAAAAATGTTATTAATTAACAACTATTAAGAGAAAATAACGAAATGTATTTACCAAAGAACTCGTGGGCTAAAATTAGAGAGTGAATTTAAATTAGAGAGTGGCTAATTTAATTCCTAGCCATCAGAAATCTTAGGTCATCATATCTCCACATTTTCATTATCCCTACATACAAAATGGAAATCAACAAATGTAGGTTACTTAAGCCACAAGTCCATTAACAAGAACAAATAAAAGACACATTTTGATATTCAGAAGGAAAGTATCACAATATCAAGTATTTGAAAAATAGGATGACACACATACATTATCTTCTAGATGAAGTTAAGTAGACAACATATATTAATCAACACAGGCCAAAGTTCTTCACAAAGAACATTAAATATGCTAACAAAATATTATTTGCTTAGCCTTCAAGCACATTAGTTTTATTTATTTAAAAATGTAAACATGGCTAATTCTTAACAACAGTAAATAAAATGTACTCGTAGCCTGTAAGTATATTTGAATCTTATAAGTTAAACATTTTAGCAGCATGCCATTACTCTGAAGGCAGAAAACTTCACAAAAGCTGAGTTTTAACCTCTAGAACTCAATGTAAACAACAGGGAAATCTATGAATTTTCTAATTAGATGTGGTCATTGGCCTAGTAGCCCACTATCTATACACACACGTGTACATACACATATACACACACACACACATCCAATTAGAAAATTCCTAGATTTCCTTACTGTTCACATTTAGTTCTAGAGTTTAAAAATCAGCTTTTGTGAAGTTTTTTGCCTTTAGCGTAATGATACACTGCTATAATGTGCAACTTATAAGATTCAAATACACACACACGTGTATGTATACATATGTGTGTATAAACACACACAAACATATACGTATACAGTCATGTACCGCAAAACAATATGATGTTTTGGTCAATGATGAACCAGATATATGATGATGGTCTCATAATATTATAATGGAGCTAATAAATTCCCAGCCCCTGGTGACATCACAACCTCCATAGCACTATGTATTAATCATGTGTTAGTGGTGATACTGGTGTAAACAAACCTACTACACTGCCAGTCATATAAAAGTATAGCACATACAATTATGTACAGTTCATAATACTTGATAATAAATGACATTTTAGTGGTTTATATATTTCCTATAGTATACATTTATTATTTTAGAATATACTCCTAACTTATTAAAAAAAAAGTTGACTATAAAACAGTTTCAGGGACATACTTCAGAAAGTATCCAGAAGAAGGTATTGTTATTATAAGCGATGACAGTCCCATATGTCCTACTGCCCCTAAAAACTTTCCATGGGACAGAATGTAAGGTGGAAGACAGTGATATTGGGTAGGCCTATCCTGACCCTGGGTGGGCCTAGAATAATGTGTGTGTTTGTATCCAGTTTTCAACATTAAAAAAAAAAGTTTTAAAGGTAAAAAAAGAAAAAATTCTAAAAAGTTTATGCTAAATTTAAAGAAATAGCTATTATAGAAACCTAAAACATTAAGTCTTCTTTTAAAAAAATGTTATCTTTTAATTTATTATTCTGTTCTGAGATTCTAACAACAGAAAAGATTTTGTTACTGACCTAGCAAGTATTAATTAACTATAAAGCATTTTTAAAAATTAGTTTTATTGTGAAGACATGTCACTTTAGAAATGTGTCAGGTCTTCTGGGCACAGTGGTTCATGCCTATAATCCCAGCACTTTGGGAGGCAGAGGTGGGAGTATCACTTAAAGTCAGGAGTTCGACACCAGCCTGACCAACATGGTGAAACCCCATCTCTACTAAAAATACAAAAACCAGCGGGGCATGATGGTGGGTGCCTATAATCCCAAGCTACTCAGGACACTGAGACAGGAGAATCACTTGAACCCAGGAGGTGGAGGTTGCAGTGAGCTGAGATCATGCCACTACACTCCAGCCTGAGTGACAAAGTGAGACTCCAGCTCAAAAAAAAAAAAAAAAAAAAAAAACTATGTCAGGTCTGAATGCCTGACTGGACCTTAGAAATATACCAGAGAAAACTTCTAAAAAAAGAATTCCTCTAAAATATTTTCATGTGTGAATAGGTGATACCAATGAGCAACAGATCATGGTAACTGGGCTTTCATTCAGAAAAGCATCCAAGAAATCATTAACAATGATATATAAGAATAATGATTCTTACATATCATTATCATGTTGGGTGAATAAAATGGTATGTAGTCAACATAAATGACTAATTTGTATTAATTGAACACAGCCAAACTAAGCCTTTCTGGATTTGGTTAAGAAAAGAATACAGAGTCAACTCTGCAATTCAAATAATAGAAAGTTAGTCTGAAGTTTTCTGAGGACTTCCAGAACCAAAACTTGTTATAGATTGGTTAATATTTCCAGTTTCTCCTTCCCTCCCTAGGAAAGTATTATTACACATCCACACCCTTTGCCATGTTACCTGGCAGTACTTCCCACCAGAGAAGTAGAGGAGTTTATTTCCCTGCCTAAATGATATTAGGCTTGACCATGTGACCTCTTACAGCAAATGGAATGTTAGCAGACATAATATAAGCTGAAGCTTTAAATGTGTTTCTGGGAGAACAATCCAAGAGGGCTGATCGCTAACATCTCAGGATTGCAGCTCCCAGTGAAAGCGCAGAGAATGAGAGGACGCCACACTTTCAGACAAATTTTGGTCGCTCATGGAGCAGAAGATTCCCAGTGGAGGAGCTGCACGGGTCGCCAGCGCGACTCTTGTGGCTGGTGCAGTGGTTTTACCAGCACCTCGGCTCAGCAGCTCTTGGTGCAGAGTAAACGGGACTGGTTCCCCTTCTGACCGAGGTTTGGAGCTCCAGGAAGGCACAGTCGCCTATTACGGATTCAAGAAGGAAGCCAGACTGGAGATTCCCGGGCAGAAAAGCATCATCAGTCTTAACGCTGCTGTTTTGGCCGGCGCAGTGGGTTGCTCATATTTCAGTCCTGGGAATTAACAACTTGGACGTCCACTCAGAGACCTAATTTGAAAGTTGGTAATTACAAAGATGACAGGTGGATAAATTTACAATGATGGGAAGAAACCAGCATAAAAAGGCTGAGAATACTCAAAATCAGAATGCCTCTCCCTCTAAAAAGGATCACAGTTCCTCATCAACAAGGGAACAAGGCTTGATGGAGAAGGAGCGCATCCCATTAACAGAATCAGGCTTCAGAAGATGGATAATAAGAAACTTCTGTGAGTTAAAAGAACATGTTGTAGCCCAATGTAAAGAAACTAAGAACTTTGAAAAAAAAGGTTTGACAAAATCCAAATGAGAATAGACAACTTAGAGAGGAATATAAGTGAATTAATGGAACTGAAGAATACAATACAGAAACTCTGAGAAGTATGCACAGGTTTAAACACTCGAATTGTTCAAGCAGAAGAAAGGATATCAGAGGTTGAAGTACAACTTAATGAAATAAAACAAGAAGACAAGATTAGAGAAAAAAGGATAAAAAGGAATGAGCAAAGTCTCCAAGAAATGTGGGACTATGTGAAAAGACCAAATCTACGTTTGATAGGTGTATCTGAATGCAACAGAGGGAATGAATCCAAGCTGGAAAATATTCTTCAGGATGTTATGCAGGAAACTTTTCCTAAACTAGCAAAGCAGGTCAATATTCAACCCCAGGTAATACAGAGAACACCACAAAGATATTCCTCAAGAAGAGCAACCTTAAGGCACATAATCGTTAGATTCACCAGGGTTGAAACGAAGGAGAAAATACTAAGGGCAGCCAGAGAGAAAGGTCAGGTTACCCACAAAGGGAAGCCTATCAGACTTACAGCAGATCTCTCAGCAGAAACTCTACAAGCCAGAAGAGAGTGGGGGCCAATATTCAACAGCCTTAAAGAACAGAACTTTCAGACCAGAATTTCATATCCAGCCAAACTAAGCTTCACAACTGAAGGAAAAATAAAATCTTTTATGAACAAGCAAGTACTCAGAGATTTTATTACCACCAGGCCTGCTTTACAAGAGCTTCTGAAAGAAGCATTACACATAGAAAGAAACAACCAGTATTAGCCTTTCTAAAAATATACCAAAAAGTAAAGAACATCAACATAAAGAAGAATTTACATCAACGAATGGATAAAACAGCTAGTTAACATCAAATGGCAGTAATCCTAAATTTAAATCGACTAAATCCCCCAATCAAAAGATACAGCCAAAACCCAACAGTATGCTACATCCAGACCCACTTTACATGCAAACATACACAAAGACTCAAAACAAAGGGATGGAGAAAGACTTACCAACCAAATGGAGAGCAAAAATAAATAAATAAATAAAAAGCAGGAGATGCAATTCTCGTATCTGATAAAATAGATTTTAAAGCAACAAAGATATAGTGGTAAAAGAATCAATGCAACAATAAGAGCTAATGATCCTAACACCCAGATACATAGAGACTTAGACTCAATGAGACAGAAAATTAATAAGGATATCAAGGACTCGAACTCAGATCCGGAACAAGTAAACTTAATAAATATTTATTTATTTATTTATTTATTTTTATTTATTTATCACAAATGAAATTGCCTCTAGAGACATAATAAAGTAAATGGCTACCTTATACTTAGCACCAAGATTTGTTAGGAAGAGCCTCTTTACATATGTTACGTTGTTTAACCCTCACTACAGCTCTAGATGACATCTCCTCTTTAAATACACAAAATATACATTCTTGTCAATACCACATCACACCTACCCATAGGTTTAAATGAAATATTGATTGGCCATTATTAATACCCATTTTTTTTTAGAATAAAGCAACATTTCCGTTCTCTCTCCCTCTTTTTCTTCCTCTTTCTTCCTCTCCTTCACTCCTTTTTTTTCTTTCCTTCTTTAAAAAAAAAAAAAGAAACAAACAAAAAAAAGAATTCAACTTGTAGACCTCTAGATCCAGGTCAGCAATGTCCCTCTCATTGCCTGATTTCCTTCCTTCCCTTCTCTCCCTCTCTCCCTCCCTCCCTCCCTCCTTTCCTTCCTTTCTCCCTCCCTCCCTTCCTCCTTTCCTCCCTTCCTGCCTTCCTTCCTTCCTCCCTTCCTACAAAAAATAATAATAATAATAAAAATAAAAGTGTTTCTGTGATCTGTCCTGCCCTCTTGCACTTCTGCCATCTGTCAGAAGATCATGCCATAGCAAATGTTATCAGAAAGACAGACTTGACCCATAGCCTCAGGCCAAGCCACACCACTTGACGTGTAGAGTCATAAGCTGTTGTCTTAAAGTACTGAGACTGAGTTTGTTAACACTCATTATTTCAGCAATAGCTTATCAATACAGGGTCCCAAGTAGACTAATTTTCTCAAATCTCTAGCATAAAGTTGCCAATGTGCAAGTGGTCCAGGAAGCCAACAACTTTCTTTTCCTCCATCCCCACTGCTTTTCCCCATGCTCTCCCTTCACAGGAGGAAGATGCTGATTGATTTCTTTCTCTTTCAACAGTTGATGCCTAGGCTTCCCTGGATCAAAACTTGATAAAGGAGATGGTGCTACTTGTTATAGCCTGGAATCGTGTGTGCTTAGTCTTGGATCCCAATACCTGGAAGTGTTTGAACTACCTGGATTCTTGGATATACACAAACACTGAAAGTCTTGGCTGTCTTGGACAGCATCAAAGACAAATTTCACTTAGATATTCTGCTCAGGGTCAGACCTTCTCTATCACTATTTCTCTTAGAATACAACCAATTTTACTTAACTTGCAAGGAATCTATTCCCACCTCTATACTTTCCTCCTCAAGCCTATGAAAAGAAAGTAAAGAGGGAGGAGAAAGGATGATTCAGCCATGGTGAGTTGGAGATATTCATGAATGTGAGGAATGCTTTGAAGCAAACATAAAACATGCACTGGGTAGACTATATCCAAGGATACACATGCTTGCATCTTAGTAGAATCCAAGTTATCACAGCAGTTTGTTTTATTTAAAGGAAATATTTTTTCATCAACAGAAATAAGAGAATCTGAATGGCATATATAAACCAAGAAACAAATTGAAGCTACTACTTCTTACCTGTTTCAGCAGGGTTCTATTGGTCCCCAGTTTATGCTGCTCAATGCTTTTTCTCACATAGACTCTTTCTGTAGGAGTCAGGTCTTCTTTCATTAGTGCATGTAGTTCTTTTAATTGTTCACTTTCATTTTCTGAGCCAGCATGTAAGCTAAAGAATTATACAGAAAACACTCCTTTTTATTCCATTTTTCATAACATCACAGTAAAACAAAATACAGATTTTCTAAGTTAACCAAGAAAAGATAAGCCTTTCTCCATTCTTCAAAAACCAAATTTAAGGTAAGAGTGATCTGAAATTACCATACTTCCCTCTGACCATGCCGTGACTTCTGGAATTTTGCATTCTTACCTATAAGGTAAGATTGGTTTGGCAATCTTCCTAACACTCCCAACTCTGACAAAGTTTTCAAATCCAAGACTGAGAAGCCTTTAAATAAGAAAATAATATAAAGTAGATTCTGATTATTTAGGAAACAGATAATATAAATATTTTAGAATATAAAATAAAGTTTCAAATAATAACTGTTATTACAATTAATTTTATGTAACAGTATATTTTAATTATAAAATTGAATGTGAAATACCTAAACTCATATAATGTAAATGCTTGAAAAAAATAGTTGGTTTTTTAAACATAAGGCATTTTCTAGAGAATTTTTAAATATGCGTTATTCCATTTTGAAGGCTCATTAAATGTTCATAAAATACCAATGTTAGTATTTATTACAAATAAAATTGCCTCTAGGGACATAATAAAGTAATGGCTACCTTATACTTAGCACCAAGATTTGTTAGGAAGAGCCTCTTTACATATGTTACGTTGTTTAACCCTCACTACAGCTCTAGATGACATCTCCTCTTAGAGATAAGGACCCAAGCTGAGAGGAGAGGTATCATGATTCAAACCCAGGCAACTCTGTCTACATCCAAAGGTTATGATCATTTTCCTACATACGTTACCCTCCAGTTAGGGCTTTCTGAGGAAGAACCCCCTCACCTACACTTCCCTTTTATATATCTTACTAGCACTATGCTGGGAACACAGCTGGAACTCAGTCAATGCCCAACCATCCAAAACTTCTTCCACCATGTCAAAATGGGAATTTAAAGAACTGGAGAACTAAACTCTAGCTCTCTGAAATAATATTCCAAAATAATTATGAAACAAACTATTTAGTGTCAATATATGAATAGATTCAATTGTTAAATTTTTCACAGTCTTCACCTTGAAGAATAACAGATACTTAACAGGCTGAAATACTAGTTTTTTTCCAACGCAAGTTTGGTTAAATCTATAATAATAAAGGGTAAAGTCTCCTCAAAGTACTATTCACCCCATGCTCTTTCATTTCTTCTCAAGAAACTGTTCCATCCATTACAAAAGGAAAACACTGTTCAAGTATACAACGAAAATGTTATTTCAGTGTGAAAAACCCATATAAAACCAGACTATAGGCAGTTGAGGTTCAGATCCTACTTAGGATGCACATTTCTCATGTCCTCATCAGAGATTTAAGCATTAAGGAATCTCTTTTATATGTTTCCTGTAAACTTTTAGTATTGAGTATTTACCTTCCCTCCTCATTCTACCTCTTTTTTTGTTTTGTTTTGTTTTCTAATAGTCTACAGTTCAATTTTCATCTTGGGCTAAGCAATCTAAAGTTCTTTCCTGTGTAGACTCCAGGTAACTCATTATCTTTATTTCAAAAAAAACATTGTCCTCAGCCACTCTTTTAAATTACTTATAAGAGTGTACACTGGAAGAATCTTTCTGAAGGGAAATTTTGAAAAGCATATTTAGAAGCTTAAAAGTTTTCATATTGTTTATTCAAGGCTTAGGATTATATTCCTAAGGAAAGAATCAAAAACGGATACAGAGTTTTATGTTTAAGGATCTTTGTCATAATATAATTCATACTGACAAGAATTTGGAAATAATTTGCTAATCAAAAATTTCTTAAAATATGGTATAAGCAAATCATTGAATATAATAGTTATAAAAAATTATGTTTTCTAAGATTTTTTTTTTGGGGGGGACAGAGTCTCACTTTGTCACCCAGGCTGTAGTGCAGTGATGCAATCTTGGCTCAGTACAACCTCCACCTCCCAGGTGATTCTTGTTCCTCAGCTAGCTGAGTAGCTGGAATTACTGGCGTGAGCCACCATTCCCAGCTAATTTATATATTTTTAGCAAAGATGGAGATTCACCATGTTGGCCATGCTGGTCTTGCACTCCTGGCCTCAAGTGATCTACCTGCCTCAGCCTCCCAAAGTGCTGGGAATATAGGCGTGAGCCACCTTTTTTAAGTAAAAAAAGCAGGACACAAAACAACACATACTATGGAATCTCAAAGTTGGAAAATGAAATGTGTGTGTGTGTGTGTGTGTGTGTGTGTGTATTTAAAAATCTGTAAATAAATATAATAAAACATCTGTATAGTCTGCATATATTCCACATAAGCATCAACTTGTATGATTATGAAAATTAATTTTTAAAAAACCTAGACTTAAAAATAATGAAGTGTTTCTCCTAATCAAACTTTGCCATTTACATTGAAATTCAGATCATTAAACATTGGAATGTTGGTTAAATATTGTAATACTTCTTTGCATTTTTAATGAAGTCATGCAATCACAAAAGTTACCTTCAGAACAGATTGTTATTATCTTCTTTGCATCCCTCTTATTGAAATAAAAAACATAATTTACTTGGTTTTTTGGTTTTTTTTTTTTTTTTTTGAGACAGAGTCTCCCTCTGTCACCCAGGCTAGAGTGCAGTGGTGCAATCTCAGCTCACTGCAGACTCCACCTCCTGAGTTCAAGCAATTCTCCTGTCTCAGCCTCCTGAGTAGCTGGGATTATAGGCACCTTCCACCAGGCCTGGCTAATTTTTTTTTTTTTTTTTTTTTTTTTTTTTTAGTAAAGATGGGGTTTCACCATGCTGGCCAGGCTGGTGTCAAACTTCTGACATCAAGCAATCTGCCTGCCTTGGCCTCCCAAAGTGCTGGGATTACAGATTTTAGCCACCACACTCAGCCTGATTTTAACCTACTTCTAAGGTAATAGACCCAAGACTCCTGGGTCAGAGACAAGAGCACAGGCACAGGAAGCAGCATAATCATCAACATATCTGCTTCCCTTGGCTTCCAAGTCACATGAGGAGACAAAAAACAGGGTACAGGTAGATGCCTGCACATACCGTGGGTTGAGGAGTAAGGCACGAACACTGAGGTTGGTGATCTATTATCTTATTAGAAGTAATAAGCAAGCCTACTCTTTGTCCTAGAGGGACAGTTTTTACTTCATCAGTCAGAATTGCTTATTGCAAACAAACTGTGACAAATGCGTTGGATAAGAATGGTCAGGGCCTTGCATCCTTGGCATCCTAGCAGGGGGATGCTCAAGGCCACTGGCAGATTACCTCCCCCAATAATACATCTCTTGCCCTATATGTTCTTGGCTGAACTTGAATTTTTGCATGAGTATCACTGTGCCAAAATTTTCAGTTTTGGTTTTGATTTTATCCTACTTACAAACTAATTAGTTAGCCTGTTACTGTTTCACAGATGCTGGCTCCTGGGTCAGAGACAAAGGTCTTGCATTCTTGGCATAACCAGCAAGACTACATGGACACTCAGGGCTCATAGTGGGTTAGCTCTCTCAACAATATCCCAAAACATTAGCTACTTAAATGCACTTGTCATGCCTACCCAAGAAGTACTCTGTCAACAGCCACATTCGTAGAAGAAGAAATCAGAAGTTTCCATGGCCTTGCATTTCCAGTGTTCGGAGCTTCATTCTTTTCAAACAGCTGTACAAAGAACAAAATCACCACTGCCAGCAAATAACTCTTTCCTGCTCCAAACACACCTAATTATTTTAAAAGAAAGAGAAAAAAATAAAAAGTATAAAATAAATAACTTTCTTTTTTCTTTTTCTTTTTTTGAGACGGAGTCTTACTCACTCTGTCACCCAGGCTGGAGTGTAGTGGCATAATCTCGGCTCACTGTAACCTCCACCTCCTGGTTTCAAGTGATTCTCCTGTTTCAGCCTCCTGAGTCACTGGGATTACTGGTGTGTGCCACCACGCCTGGCTAAGTTTTGTATTTTCAGTAGAGGCAGGGTGTTACCATATTGGCCCAGCTGGTCTGAAACTCCTGAACTCATGTGATCTACCTGCCTTGGCCTCCCAAAGTGCTGGAATTACAGGTGTGAGCCACTGTGCCTGGCCAAATGTAAATGAATTTCTACAGGCATAACAAATATTTCATCCATCTCTCCCTCCTTCATTTAATTAATATGTTCAAAAAACATTGAGTGCTCCCTATGGGCAAAGCACAGGGGATAAACAGATAACCAAAATACCTCCACTTTTAATGAGACCATCACCTACTTAAAATGACAAGTAAATAAATAATTATAAAATAATATGGTAAGTAATATTATTTTGGATCAGAGAAGGAAGAAAACCTATCTCTGTTTTGATGGAGATGGGAATACTTCCTAAAATTAGGAAGTAGAACTAAGAATTCCAGAATAAGCTATCCAGACTGCTTAAAGAAAGGGCCATTCCAGGCAGAGCTGTCACAAAGCATGTAGCTGTTAAAAGAACTTTTCTATATAACCTCTACCAAATAGGCAAGAGATGAGGCTGATAAGGTAGGCACAGGGATAAATCACAAAAGGTCTGTTTGCAATAACTAAACAAAGTTTGAATTTTATCTTAAAGGCCAAAGAAGTCATCTAAAGATCTTAAGCAGTGGGTTTGATTTTTTTTTTTTTTTAAACAGAGTCTGGCTCTGTTGCCCAGGCTGGAGTGCAGGGTGCAATCTTGACTCACTGCAATCTCTGCCTCCCAGGCTCAAGCCATCCCCCAACCACAACCTTCCAAGAAGCTACAGGTGCATGCCTCCATGCCCAGCTAATTTTTAAATTTTGTAGAGGTAGGGTTTGGTTTTGCCATGTTGTCCAGGCTGATCTTGAACTCCTAAGCTTAAATGACCTACCCTCCTTGACCTCCCAAAGTCCTGGGATTACAGGTGTGAGGCCAAGCAATGGGTTTGACTTTATCAGATTGTGTTTTAAGAAAACAACTTGAATGAAAATATGAAGTAAGGCAAAACTAATGGTAGATCTATTAGAAAGTTGTGTGAGATAATTATAACAACAATAAATGTTAACTTTACTAAGCATTTCCCATGTGCCAAGCACTGTTCTAAGCTCTTTACATATGTTAACTAATTTAATCCTCCAACCCTATGAGGTGAATGCTATTATGATCTCCATTTTACAGAGTAGGAAATTAAAGATTAAGAGATATATAACCTGCCCAAAATCATACAGCCCACAAATGATGGAGTCAGGACGTAAATTCAGGATTCTAACTCTAGAGCCCACACTCTTATCCACAAGGTTACATGGAGATATGGTGAAGGCTTGGACTGAGAAGGTACAAGTACAACGGAGAAGAGATACTCAATATGAAAGATAGATAGAAGCTAGAGGGAACACATCTCAGTGACTAATCTGATGGTGGGAGATGAATAGTAAGAGAATAAGAGGAGGATTAAGAGAGAGTCACTTAATCTTGAGAGAAAAAATAGTCTAGGATGACTCTCAGGTTTGATTTGGTCAACAAGGTGGATGTGATGTAATTCCTCAAAATAGGACAAAAAAGTAGGATTAGCTTCGGGATTGACTATGAGAGGAAATGTGCTACAGAGGCAACAGAATCCAGATAGAACTATTTACTATAAGTAGAAGGAAGTAAATCTCCTTCACTGTGACAGAACCAAGAGGTAAGAATAGCTCCAAAATTAGATAAATTGGAGAAGGAGGGCAGGACACTGAAAGCAATTTCTGTTATGACCTCCATTTCCTCTTCAGAGTCAAGAGAAAGGGTAAGAATGAGGTTATGAGAAGAATTAAGGTTTGTAATCACTGATATAAAGGATAGAAGAGTGAGCTGACTAGGAATAAATAAAAGATTTTGCCGATCAAGTTAAATCTATTCTAGTAGAGCAACATGTAAACATCTAGATTGAATCTGAATACTCTGACCATAAGCTTATGATGCTACTCATTTATCTGATAGCTAATAAGTCTCCCTTTTAGGGTAGTCAGTTTTGTTCTCATCTAACAGTTTACCAAAGTAGGATCAGGTTAAAAAAGTCTACTTAGAGGGCCGGGCGCGGTGGCTGATGCCTATAATCCCAGCACTTTGGGAGGCTGAGGTGGGTGGATCACGAGGTCAAGAGATCGAGACCATCCTGGTCAACAAGGTGAAACCCCATCTCTACTAAAAATACAAAAATTAGCTGGGCACGGTGGTGCGCGCCTGTAGTCCCAGCTACTCAGGAGGCTGAGTCAGGAGAATTGCTTGAACCCAGAAGGCGGAGGTTGTGGTGAGCCGAGATCATGCCATTGCACTCCAGTCTGGGTAACAACAGCGAAACTCCGTCTCAAAAAAAAAGTCTACTTAGAGTTATTCTTGAATCTCTTTTGATTAGGAAATTATAAAGGAGCAGACTGAGTTATAAAAGCTTACAAATAGAAAACAATTACAATTATTTTCTTTCTTGCTTCTTACCATGTATGATCGTGATAGGGAGGGTATGAGCTTGCAGTTCCTTCACTTCTTCAACACTTTCATGTGATGCCATCATCTGAGCTATCTGGATTAGAGCTATAGCTTGATCTTTGTTTAACCTGTGTGCCTCAATCACCTCACTAGCTAACTTCAATGTTGCTCCTAGGCCGAGTAGTTCAAATTTTGTGCTGACATTTGTGAAGGCTGGTGGGAAAAATTTTCTCTTACTGACTCTTTTGTTGCTAACTATAGTTGGCGAAGACCTAATAAAAATGAAGCAAATAAACAACAAAAAAAATTAAAGGCATTTGAAAAGATGAGTAGAACAATTCATAACTTAGCCCTCACTTTGTAAGCATTACAGAGAACAGTTTTTTACGGAAACAAACAGTAAGTGGATATATACTGTAAATGGATACATACGTCAATATTGAGGAGGGTAGAAGAGAACTAATGTTTATTGAATATTTACTAAGTGCTGACACTCTAAGCATTTTACATGTTACTTGCTGAAATCTTCACAATAACACTAGGAAGTAATTAATTATCCAAAATACAGATACAAGAATATTAAACTTCCCCCAACACCATACCACAAATAAGTGGTAGACTGACTTTAAAACCGATGCTCTATTATCCAAATCTGACTGAGATAATTAGCCCTCGTTTCAGGTAAAACTAGTTTTATTTATTTATTGGTTTTATTTATATTTCTATGAAAACTCAATTCATTTCAAATTGGATGAACAATTTGAAAAAAAAAAAACATTTTAGAGGATTTGCTTATCTGCTTCCTTCTTTCCTTCTTTCCTTCCTTCCTTCCTTCCTTCCTCCCTCCCTCCCTCCCTCCCTCCATCCTTCCTTCCATCCTTCTCTCCCTCGCTCCTTCATTTTTTCTGATCTTGTCACCCAGGCAAAAAAAAAATTGGATGAACAACATAAAAAAATCACAAGGATATTTTTTTTACCTAGGACTTCATTGTAGTGAGAAAAATAAAACACCACAGATAGATAATAACATTCCAAAATGAAAACTGAACTTTTTTCTTATCATTTTAATGCATTTAATATAATACCACTTCCAATTTTTTAAAAAGGGACATGGTGCTTGAGAAATTGAAAATGAAATATGCCTATATCAAGAATAAAATCAGCATCAATATACACACTGGATTCAAACTGTAACATTTAACATTTAAATGTTAAATAATTTGTGGTACAAAAATACAGATAATAAAAAATAAAATCAACACTGAAATAATCCTTAAATTATTTCTTGAGAAAGTGAAAAAATTTACAGTAACATTACATTTATTAGCTCAAACATTAATAAATAGATTAAAAATAATGCTTAATTCTTTTTCTCTTGTGTTTTGTTTTGTTTTGTTTTTTGAGATGGAGTTTCGCTCTTGTTTCCCAGGCTGGAGTGCAATGGCGTGATCTCGGCTCACCACAACCTCCGCCTCCTGGGTCCAGGCAATTCTCCTCCCTCAGCCTCCTGAGTAGCTGGGAGTACAGGCATGCACCACCATGCCCAGCTAATTTTTTGTATTTTTAGTAGAGACGAGGCTTCACTATGTCAACCAGGATGCTCTCGATCTCTTGACCTCGTAACCCACCCGCCTCGGCCTCCCAAAGTGCTGGGATTACAGGCGTGAGCCACCGCGCCCAGCTTCTTTTTTTCTGAGACAGAGTTTCGCTCTTGTTGCCCAGGCTGGAGTGCAATGGTGCAATCTCGACTCACTGCAACCTCCGCCTCCTGGGTTCAAGCAATTCTCCTGCCTCAGCCTTCCAAGTAGTTGGGATTACAAGCATGCATCAGCACGCCCAGTTATTGTATTTTTAGTAGAGACAAGGTTTCTCCATATTGGTCAGGCTGGTCTCGAACTCCCAACCTCAGGTGATCCACCTGCCTCAGCCTCTCAAAGTGCTAAGATTACAGGCGTGAGCCACCGCGCCCAGACCTTTTTCTCTTTTTAACTACTAACAGTAATGTCATAGTCTGAAAAATAATTACAATTTCATTGACAACATTTTGTAATGTACTTTTATTGAATTTTCATATTCACTTCTGATTAGCATTTTTTAATACCAATGACTCAAAGGTAAAAAAAAATGACTTACATTGTTAACAGGTACTGTGTTAGAGGTAGAGTAGCTGGATTAAAGTAGTCCTGAATGTTTTTCAAAGTAGTCAGTTCTGTGCTAGCATTACAAACCAATAACGCATGGACAACCACTGTACAGAGGATGCAGAAAATAAACATTTGATGTAAACAAAATGGACCATAAAAACTCTGTTAAATGTCCACAGAACTCAGAGTTTGGCTACTGGATTAAGCACATGATATAAAACAAACTCTTAAACACACACAGAGATCCCAAACTCATGTTCATTAAATTACTATGCTATCTGCCCATTAGTTTTATAATAGGTACCCATAAATTGCATAATTTAAATCATATTTGGACTTCTATATATCAGCAAATGATCAAGAACAGCTGCGTTGAGTCAGTACCCAGTGGCACAACTTCACAGCAGTTCCCTTTAATTAACATATCACTTGTGTCATACAGTAGTATTTGTATAATTTTTAAACACTTCCTTGCATTTTTTCTTCAATTACTTTACAGAAATATATGGAAAACAAAAAATCAGAACAATCTAATTAAAAAATTAGAACAAAACAATCCCACACACAGCATTCTTCCTCAGAGAAATATCTATATATTCAACTTTCACACGCATTTTCAGGAACATATTGTACATAATAGTAAGAACTAGAGGTGGGTGCTTTTTGTTGGTTTTAATCAAACAGTGCATCTTATGTCTATCATTCTTTTTAAATATAGACTAAAATGAGCATAGTAATACTCACTGTTAGTGGGCCAATTAGAAGGGAAATAGCCTTTCAAAGGCAGTAATTCTATCTCATTGATAGATGATGGTCCAAAGAAAGCACTACATGCAATAAAAGTATCCAGCTCAAAGTCTAGGGTTTTTGAAACCACCCAAAGATCATCTGAAAAGACAAACATTTTTAAATACTATAAAGACACATGTATGGTTCTATATTTGTTTAAATTATATGTATTTGTAAATGTGTGTACATACATCTATAGTATACATATACCTACACATGATGAGAAGTTCTGGAAAGATATTCATCAACTATCAACCTAAAAGTTGGGAGTTATCCTGAACAAAAGAACCAGCATCAGATTCTGCAATCAATACAGTACCTCTTGAATCACATAGAAAAAGACTAAAGAGATGGCAGAATTACAGAGTGAGGAAGAAGGAAGGCAGAGACATCACATGGGCAGATGAGTTAGGTACAATGGGAATCCCTAGGTTTTGCATGAATCCACAGAAGGCCTAAGAAGGCAGGACATGGGCTAGCCCATAAGATTATTGTATTAGTCCATTCAGGCTGTTATAAAAAAAAATCTTAAATGAGTAATTCACAAATAGTGGAAATTTATTTCTCATAGAAGTTCTGGAAGCAGTTGGCTTCCTTTCTGTGGAGAACAGAGAGAAGTGGAAAAACCATGGAAAACTTTGAGTTGGAGGGGATGTTTTGAACTGGTGTATGTTTCCCTGAACTGATTTTGGCAAAGGGCAGAAGGGCTGCAAAGAAAGAGAGGATCAAAGAGGGTGGGGAGGATCTTGGGGTTCTGTTCTTGCTTCCCATCCCATCCTCTCCCCATCTCCAATTGTCCTAGGACAAATAGGGGCTACCTATCTATAATAAAATTTATACTTCTGGTCCCGAAATCCTCTAGATGGAAAAAAAAATCAGGGCAGCAATGCAACCTCTATGCTATAAAGAGCAGAGAAAAACAGATGGTAACTCATTGATCACAGGCAGTTTCTACCTCACCTCAAACTGCTAGAACTGAAGAATTTTACAATCTAAGAAATGATACCTCTTTTTTTTTTAGATGGAGTTTCACTCTTGTTACCCAGGCTGGAGTGCAATGGCTCGATCTCGGCTCACCGCAACCTCCGCCTCCTGGGTTCAGGCAATTCTCCTGCCTCAGCCTCCCAAGTAGCTGGGATTACAGGCACGTGCCACCATGCCCAGCTAATTTTTTGTATTTTTAGTAGAGACAGGGTTTCACCATGTTGACCAGGATGGTCTCTATCTCTTGACCTCGTGATCCACCCGTCTCGGTCTCCCAAAGTGCTGGGATTACAGGCTTGAGCCACTGTGCCCGGCCGAAATGATACCTCTTAATGTTGCTTTTTTCCTTTAACCAGAGGGTTTAGACCTCACTTTAGGGATTATTCTGTGGTAGCTGTGATTTTCTGGTGCCTGGGGCTCTCCACTCTGTAGGTCAGTTACGCCTTCGATTCCCTGAGCTCCTTAGAGCTGACCAGATTGGGGTGGGCTTTCCCTGACATACACTGCCAGAAAGAAAAGCTGATACTGCCAGGGGAAAATGAGTTCACAGACCAAAATAATGAGACATTTGAGGAACACAAAGACTTTTTAAAAAATTGGATTATAGATTCATATAGAAAAGGGAAAGCTAGAATAGATAGACAAATAATTTAGACTTGGCCTGGTAAAGAGACGAAAAGAGGTAAAGGAAGACAGTAACAATGTAAAATAATAACAGCTGAGTGCAGTGACGCACACCTGTAGTCCTAGCTACTTGGGAAGCTAACATGAGAGAACTGCTTAAGTCCCAAAGTTTGAGACCAGCCTATCAAAAATAGTAAGACCTCATCTCAATAAACAAATACATATGTACATGCATACAAGAAAACAGGCCAGGATAATCCCAACATTTTAGGAGGTTAAATCAGGAGGATCACTTAAGCCCACGAGTTCGAGATGTGTCAGGGCAACAGAGCAAGAACCTATCGCTACAAAAAATAATAAAAAAAAACAACTAGCTGGGTGTAGTGGTTTGCACCTGTAGCCCCAGCTACTCAGGAGGCAGAGGCGGGAGAACCGCTTGAACCCAGGAGGTGGAGGTTGCAGTGAGCCCAGATTGCACCACTGTACTCCAGCCTGGGTGATGAGAGTGAAACTCTGTTTCAAAAAAAAAAAAAAAAAAATTAGAGTGTCATCAGACTTTTTAACAACAACGAATGCAAGAAGATAACTAAGTATATTAAATGTTTGACTAAAATATTTGCTGTTTTAATTCAACAAATCAACATAATGCTTCCTTCATTCAGAAAGCTTGCTACAAATAAAACAAAATACAACTGAACTAAACAGTGCGCTAATGATAAAGGTCATTTGCATTCTGGAGCAGTTCCTCAGCTCTCTTTGGGAACCAGTAGGTTTGTGGACCAGAACCAGCCTACAGACTCTACCTTGAGTAGTACTAGTTTAGATTTTTGTCAACTGGGGGTAAGCGGGGAAGAGTAAGGGAAGAAATCAGGGGAAGAATCAAGGAATATGGATGCTTTCTAAGTATCTATTTTACTGGGGGCAGGGTAAGATTTAAATATCAATTTATTTTTTTAAAAAGTAAGAAATGGTCAGACACAGCAGTTCACATCTGTAATTCCAACACTTTGGGAGGCCGAAGCGGGTGGATCACGATGTCAGGAGTTCAAGACCAGCCTAGCCAATATGGTAAAACCCTGTCTCTAGTAAAAATACAAAAACTTGCCGGGCATGCTGGCACGCGCCTGTAGTCCCAGCTACTCGGGGGGCTTAAGCAGAAGAATCACTTGAACCTAGGAGGTGGAGGTTGCAGTGAGCCGAGATCATGCCAATGTGCTCCAGCCTGGGTGGCAGAGCAAGACTCGGTCTCCAAAAAAAAATGATTAAAAAGAGCATAATAAAATTAGAATGAACAAAAATAATTTATTATAGAAACATATCCAGGTATCAATTACTATAATAAATTCAACTATTGGGCTTATTCTATTTAAAAGGCAAATCTTTAAGACATATGCTGTTTATAAGAAATACTTGTAATCTAGAAACAAAGATGAAAAAAATGAAAACAAAAAACACTATGAAACAACTACTAGTCAAAATAAACAGTATATCTATATGAACAGACAGATTTTCAAGAAATAATTATTAGAGGTGGAGAGGATCATCTTTATATAATGACATGTTTAAATTTACCCCAAAGTGAATAATAATTTTAAAAATATATGTAACTAATAAAATAGCCCTAACATATAATATTGAAAAAGTAATAAAATAACAGGGAGAAAATGCACCACAGAGGAAGTTTTCAACTCATCTCCCTTAATTACTTAGATAACTGCCACAAAAATTTGGCAGGACTACAGAAGATCTGAACAAGACAATTAATAAGCTTGATCTGATCATTAAAGAGTTCTATATTCAACAATTAGAGAAAACATATTTCCCTTGTACTATGCCATTAAAATACCGATTTTCAGTCTTTAAGATCAAGCGTACAAAAACCTTAGTAGGCGAGTTGTGGTGGCTCATGCCTGTAATCCCAGCACTTTGGGAGGCTGAGCTGGGCAGGTCACTTGAGGCCAGGAGTTTGAGATGAGCCTGGCCAACTTGGTGAAATCCTGTCTCTACTAAAAATAAAGAATTTGCTGGGTGTGATGGCAGGTGCCTGACATCCCAGCTACTTGGGAGACTGAGAAATAATTGCTTGAACCTGAGACGTGGAGTTTGCAGTGAGATCATGCCACTGCACTCCATCCTGGGCATTAGAGCGAGACTCTGTCTCAAAAATAAATAAATAAATAAACTTAATAAACTTTAAAGAATAATATTATAAAAATCATAATGTCTACCTATTACATATTTAAGTCAGAAGTTAACAAAAAGTCAACATAGAAATCCCCTAGATATTTTAATATTAAAACAAATGCTAAATTACTCACAGGTTATAAAAGAAATAATAATAGAAAATTTAAAACAAACTGAATTATAATGAAAAAAGTAACTCAGCAAAAATAGAGTGGTAAGCCAAGCACAGAGGCTCACATCTGTAAACACAGCAATCTGGGAGCCAAGGCAGGCAGATTACTTGAAGTGACGAGTTCAAGACCAGCCTGGCCAACATGATGAAACCCCATCTCCACCGAAAATACAAAAAAGTTAGCTATGTGTGGTGGTGAGTGCCTGTCGTCCCAGCTACTTGGGAAGCTGAGGCAGAAGAATTGCTTGAACCCAGGAGGTGGAGGTTACAGTGAGCTGAGATTGCACCACTGCCATCAGCCTGGGCAACAGAGCCAGACTCCATCTCAAATGAACAAACAAAAAAAACAGAGTGGTACTTTAAGGAAAACTTACAACCCTAATAATTATATTAGAGAAGAGAAAAGTCTCAAAATTAGCTAAGTATCCAGCTTAAGATGTGTGAAAAAGAGTATATTATCCCAAACAAATTAGAAGAAATCATAAAAATTAGAGAGAAAGCCAACAACGACAACAATAAAAACAAAACAAAAATATATTGCTGATCTTCTGATCAATAAAGCCAAAAGTCAGTTCTTTGAAAAACATAACAAAATAAGACAAACCTCAGGCAAGAATGATCAGAAGAACAAAAATACAAATAAAACAATGGTGGCATTGCAGATCAGTGAGGAAATGAAAAACTAATCAATAAAAAATTACTAATATTCCAGCAAAACTGATAATAAAAAAGAAAAAAAATGGACTGGGTATGGTGGCTCATGCCTGTAATCCCAGCACTTTGGGAGGCCAAGGCAGGTGGATCACCAGAGGTCAGGAATTCAAGACCAGCCTGGCCAACATGGTGAAACCCCATCTCTACTAAAAGTACAAAAATTAGCCAGACACCTGTAATCCCAGCTACTCAGGAGGCTGAGACAGGAGAATAGGTTGAACCCATGAGGCAGAGATTGCAGTGAGCCAAGATCACGTCATTGCACTCTAGTCTGGGTGATGAGAGTGAGACCCCCAACTCAAAAAAAGAAAAAAATGAAACTGGATCCCTACACCTCACACCATATACCAAAAAAAAAAATCAATTTTAAATAGACTAAAGATTTAAATCTCATAGTCACCAATACAGCATGGTACTGGTATAAAAACAGGCACACAGACCAATAGAACAGAATAGAAAGCCCAGAAATAAAGCCAAATACTTGGAGCCAACTGATCTTTGACAAAGCAAATAAAAACACAGTGTGGGGAAGAAAACACCCTTCAACAAACTGGGGTAACTGGCAAGCCACATGTAGAGGAATGAAAATGGATTCTAATCTCTCACCTTATACAAAAATCAACTCAAGATGACTTGGTGTACTTAAATCTAAGATCTGAAACCATAAAAATTCTAGAACATCAGAAAAACCCTTCTGACGTTGGCTTAGGCTAAGACTTCATGACCAAGAACCCAAAAGCAAACAATAAAAACAAAGACAAGTTGATGGAAATTAAACTATTAGCAAAAATCTTCTGTACAGCAAAAGAAACAATTATCAGAATAAACAGACAACCCACAGAGTGGGAGAAAATCTTCACAATCTGTACATCCGACAAATGACTAACACTCAGAATCTACAAGGAACTCAAACAAAGCAGCAAGAAAAAAAAAATCCCATCAAAAAGTGGGCTAAGGACATGAATAGACAATTCTCGAAAGAAAGCCAACAAACATGAAAAATGCTCATCATCACTAATAATCAGGGCGATGCAAACCAAAACCACAAGCCAGTATTGCCTTACTCCTGCAAGAAGAGTCATAATCAAAAAATCAAAAAATAAGAGATGTTTGCAGGGATGTTGTGAAAAGGGAACACTTTTACACTGCTGGTAGGAATGTAACCTAGTACAACCAGTGGAAAACAGTGTGGAGATTCCTTAAAAACCATTTGATACAGCAATCTCACCACTGGGTATCTATTCAAAGGAAAAGAAGACATTACACAAAAAGATACTTACACACATGTTTATAGCAGCACAATACACAATTGCAAAAATATGGAAGCAGCTCAAATGCCCATTAATCAATGAGTAGATAAAGAAATTGTGATTTATATATATACAAACACCATGGAATACTATTCAGCCATAAAAAGGAACGAAATAATGGCATTCGCAACAACCTGGATGGAACTGGAGACCACTATTCTAAGTGAAGTAACTCAGGAATGGAAAAACCAAACATTGTATGTTGTTACTTCTAAGTGGGAGCTATACTATGTGGGTGCAAAGCCATAAGAATAATACAAAGTCCCCCAATGGACTTTGGGGAATCAGGGGAAAGGGTGAGAGGGGAATGAAGGATAAAAGACTACAAATGGGTACAGTGTGTACTGATAAGGTGATAGGTGTAGCAGAATCTCAGACATCACTACTAAAGACTTATTCATGTAACCAAGCACCACCTGTCCCCTCTAAAACTTAAGGAAATAAATAGCAATAATAATAATAAAGATTTAAATGTCAAAAACCAAACTTTAAAACATTTAGTAGAAAATATAGGTGAATAACTTTAGAACTCAGCATAGGAAAAGCTTTTTTTTAGATTTTTTAAGATATAAAAAGCATTGTCAAAAAGAAAGGATTAGTATAAATCTGACTATAATTAAGAATTTTTATTTACTTTAAGATACCTTAAAGTAAGTGAAAAGACGTAATACATACCAGGAGCTGATATTCACAACATACATACTCAACAAAGAATCAATATGAAGAATACATAAAGAACTTCTATAAATAAAAGAAGCTTATAAAGAACCCAGCAGTAAAATGACTAAGAAACATATGTTATTAAATAAACACATGAAGAGTATTTTAACATCACTGGTGAGCAAAGAAATGTAAGCTAAAAGCACAATGAGATCATCTTACACTCATTTGAATGGGTTGACCCATAAGATCTCTTATACTTAGGATGAGTACAAACTGATATAACCACTTTGGAAATCTGTTTGGCACTATAACCTAAAGATGTATGAAGTATTTTACATGCTGTAAGGCAGTATTTTCATTCCTTGAGTCATATTAAAAAAAAAAAAAAACTCTTACATATCTACAACACAGTACAAGAATATTTATAACACCCTGTTCACAATGGTAAAACTTAGAAACCCAAACAACAATGGAAACAATAAACTATTAGCATGTTCACAAAATATTATACAACAGTCGAAATAAATAATCTAGACTCTAGATTTAAGAACAATATGGATAAATGGCAGCAACATACCAACCAAAAAAAGATAATTTCCAAAAGATTATATACAGAATGACATCATTTTAGTAAGGTCTAAAGAAACTAAAACTTTTATATAGATCTTTAGGAATTCATTTACATAAATCTATATACAAAGGAAAGAAAAATTTTGTTGAGTGCTACAATCGAAACGATAACTACCTTGGGTTTGGAGAGAGAAGATGAGATAGTGGAGTTAACTTAAATATAACTTAAATTGTGGGCTCACAGATGCTTACTATATTATTTTAAATAACTAATTAAATAATTAAATAACTAAATGAAAGCAAGCTATGTGAGGACCAATAACTAAGAGTAAATCACAAAATCACAGACAATGATTAATCCAACTTAGTGCACCTAAGGTCCTTTAAAAACACTCAATGCTGTCCAGGCATGGTGGCTCATGTCTGTAAACTCAGCACTTTGGGAGGCCAAGGTGGGCAGATTACCTAAGGCCTGGAGTTCAAGATGGGGCTGGCCAACATGGTGAAACCCTGTCTCTGCTAAAAATGCAAAAATTAGTTGGATGTGGTGGTGCACACCTGTAATCCCAGCTACTTGGAAGGCTGAAGCAGAAGAATCACTTGAACCCTGGAGGCAGAGGTTGCAGTGAGTCTACATCACACTACTGCACTCCAGTCTGGACAACAGAGTGAGTAAGACTCTGTCTTGGACAAAAATAACAACAGCACTCAATGTTTAAAGGATGTCATTTCCAAATATACAAAATTTAGGGTCCAATGTTGCCAAATTACATAGACAATAAAAGAAACATCAACAAACTCATTACTACATTTTTTCAGTTTATTTTCGACACTAAGAGCACAGTTGAATCAATATGCTTACTTATATGATTCCAAGAACTAATTAAATGTTTTTGGTGTCTCTTCTAATAAATTTTTTTTTTTTTTGAGACGGAGTTTCGCTCTTGTTACCCAGGCTGGAGTGCAATGGCGCGATCTCGGCTCACCGCAACCTCCGCCTCCTGGGTTCAGGCAATTCTCCTGCCTCAGCCTCCTGAGTAGCTGGGATTACAGGCATGCGCCACCATGCCCAGCTAATTTTTTGTATTTTTAGTAGAGACAGGGTTTCACCATGTTGATCAGGATGGTCTCTCGTGATCCACCAGCCTCGGCCTCCCAAAGTGCTGGGATTACAGTAATAAAGTTTTTAAAAAGCCCAAACATCTTAAAAGATGTATGGTCTAATTTATTATACAATAATTTATAATACATAGTACTATTACATTACATTTTTTAAATTTAACATAAAGTTCTTTAATATAAAAAACTTATACAGCTGTATGTAATGGAGATACAAGGCTAGACTGAATCACCAGTATGATCAGATCCACTTACTTTTGCTATAAGCTGAAGAACTTTCCTTTCGACTCAGCTTAAGATAAAGTCTGGTTTTTGGTTCATTATAAAACTCAGGATTTACAGTAGTAAACTTCTTTAGTTTGCCATACTGTTTTCTCTGAAAATCAAATCCTTTTCTGAAAAATAAATAAAAAATAAAAATGAATTGTAATATTAAGGTGCAAATTTTTTGAAAATCTTTAAAATACAGCATAAAAAGAACCAGGGTTTTATATGTTTACCTACTTTCATACACGTATACAAAATATAAATATATTTTATCAAAGTAAGAAAATAACAACTCTCACAGAACTGTCATCAGTTTTAAAAGACACCAAGATAGAAAAGTATCTAAAAGAAGGTGGGGCTAGGGGAGAGATAGCATTAGGAAAAATACCTAATGTAGATGACAGGTTGATGGGTGCAGCAAACCACCATGGCACATGTACACCTATGTAACAAACCTGCACGTTCCGTACATGTAACCCCAAAACATAAAGTATAATAATAAAAAAAAAGAATAAGCCCCAGTTCCTACAATCGATCATGTAGCAACATCTGCCTTGCATTGATGTTTATTAAAAAAAAAACGAAGAGATAGAACACCTCATATGCTTTAAAAAATTTTTAAATTTAAATATTTTTATTGATATATAACAGTTATACATATTTTGGTAGTACATATGATATCCTGATACCAATCAAATCAAATCAGGGTAACTGGGATATTTCATCACTTCAGACATTGATCTTTTCTTTGTGTGAAGAACATTACAATTCTTCTCTTCTGGTTATTCTGATATATATACAATAAATTACTGTTAACTATAATTTCCCAACTGTACTCTCAAATACTAGAGTTTATTCCTCCTATTTTTTTTTTTTTACACTTTAACCAACCTCTCTTTATTTCCCATGCCGTTTTCTTCCCAGCCTCTGGTAACTACCATTCTACCTTCTCACTTTCATGAGATCTGCTTTTTTAGCTCCACACATGAGTGAGAACATGCAGTGGTTATCGTTTTATACCTGGATTCATTCTTCTTCTTTCTCTCTCTCTTTCCCTTCCTCCCTTCTTCCCTCCCTCCCTCCTTCCCTTCCTTCCTTCCTTCCTTCCTTCCTTCCTTCCTTCCTTCCTGCCTGCCTGCCTGCCTGCCTTGACAGGGCTGGTTCTGTTGCTGGTGGCATGATCTTGGCTCACTGCAACTTCATCTCCTGGGCTCAAGCCATCCTCCCATTTCAGCCTCCCATGTTGCTGGGACTATAGGTGCAAACCACGACACCTGGCTAATTTTGTATGTTTTCTAGAGACAAAGTTTCATAAAGAAAAGGTTTCATCATGTTACCCAGGCTGGTCTTGAACTCCTGCGCTCAAGTGATTGGCCCTCCTCCGCCTCTTTAAAGTTCTGGGATTACAGGCATGAGACTATGCCTGGCCTTTGACTTACTTCACTTAACATAATGACCTCCAGTTCCTGAGGATGACAGGATTTCATTCTTTTTACAGCTGAATAAGATCCCATTTTGAGTGTGTGTGTGTGTGTGTGTGTGTGTGTGTGTGTGTTTATATGCCACATAGTCTTTATCCATTCATCCACTGATGGACACTTAGCCATATCTTGGCTATTATGACTACTGCTGAAATAAACATGAAACTACAGGTATCTCTTTAATATACTGATTTCCTTTCTTCTGGATACATACCTAAGAATGAGATTGCTAGGTCATATGATAGTTCTAGTTTTATTTTTTTGAGGAACCTTATTTTCTAAACTATAAAATGGGAATAATAATTTATTCCCATATCTTCATATCTCACAAGTTATTATAATGATTATATAAAATAATTCATGTGATGATACTGCTACCAAAACATCTATATAGACCAATGGAACAGAAGAGAGGCCTCGAAAGTAATGCCACACATCTACAACCATCTGATCTGTGACAAACTGGACAAAAACAAGCAATGGGGAAAAGATTCCATATTTAATAAATGATCTTGGGAAAACTGGCTAGCCATGTGCAGAAAGCAGAAACTGGACCCCTTCCTGATACCCTACACTTAAATTAACTCCAGATAGATTAAAGATTTAAACATAAGACCTAACACCATAAAAACTCTAGAAGAAAATCTAGGCAATACCATTTAGGACATAGGCATACGCAAGGACTTCATGACTAAAACACCAAAAGCAATGGCAACAAAACTCGAAATAGACAAATGGGATCAAATTAAACTTAAGAACTTCTGTACAGCAAAAGAAACAACCATTAGAGTGAACCGGCAACCAACAGAATGGAAAAAAATTTTTGCAATCTACCCATCTAACAAAGGGCTAATATCCAGAATCTACAAAGAACGAAAGCAAATATACAAGAAAAAAACAAACCACCCCATCAAAAAGTGGGCAAAAGATATGAACAGACACTTTTCAAAAAAAGACATTTATGTGGCCAACAAACATACGAAAAGATGCTCATCATCACTAGTCATTAGAGAGATGCAAATCAAAACCACAATAAGATACCATCTCATGCCAGTAGAATGGCTATCGTTAAAAAATCTGGAGACAACAGATGCTAGAGAGGAGGTGCAGAAATAAGAGCACTTTGACACTGTTGGTGGGAGTGTAAATTAGTTCAACCATTGTGGAAGACAGTGTGGTGATTCCTCAAGGACCTAGAAATAGAAATACCATTTGACTCAGCAATCCCATTACTGGTTATACACCCAAAGGATTATAAATCATTCTACTATAAAGACACATGCACATATATGTTCACTGAGGCACTGTTTACAAGAGCAAAGACTTGGAAACAATCCAAATGCCCATCAAAGATAGACTGGATAAAAAAAAATGCGGCACATATATACCACGGAATACTAGACAGCCACAAAAAAAGGATGAGTTCATGTCCTTTGCAGGGACATGGATGAATCTGGAAACCATCATTTTCAGCAAACTAACACAAGAACAGAAAACCAAACACTGCATGTTCTCACTCATGAGTGTCGAACAATGAGAACACACAGACACAGGGAGGGGAACATCACAGACTGGGGTCTGTTGGGGGGTGGGGGGGCTAGGGGAGGGATAGCAGTGGGTAGGGAGATTGGGGAGGGATAACATTAGGAAAAATATTTAACGTAGGTTATCGGGGGATAGAGGCAGCAAACCACCATGACATGTGTATACCTATGTAACAATCCTGCAGGATCTGCACCTGTAATCCAGAACTTAAAGTAAAATAAATTTTAAAATTGTTTTAATAAATAAAATAAAATAATAATTCATGTGAAGTGCTTAGTTAGAAGAGGGCCTGGCATATATAAGCTCCCAATAAAAATATTACTATTAAATCACCATGATGCAAATGGTCAGTATATTTATTTTTAATAATCGAAACTTTTACAAAAGACATACTTCCAAAAAGTAGCATTCTATTATCCTATAAGCTATGTAGTTTAGGCATGCAAATGATCACTTATCTATTATGCCACACTGCTAAAAATTATACCTATGGTTTGTTAGATAGAATTTCCCTTAGGATTGTGGAAAATAGCCTCAACTACACATAAAATAAGTTAGAAAAATAGCATCCTGCTAGTTAGCCTAATATTGCTCACACTGTTTGATGCTTAGAAGAAGCCAAAATAACTTTAAAGACTTATTCCCCGGCCGAGCATGGTAGCATGCCCGTAATTCCAGCCCTTTGGGAGGGTGAGATGGGAGGAGGATCAATTGAGTCCAGGAGTTTGCAATCAGACTGGGCAACATAGCAAGACCCCCATCTCTACAAAAATTTTAAATTAACTTGGCATGGTGGCATGTGCCTGAAGTCAGTTAGGCTGGGGCAGGTGGGCCCAGGGGTTCAAGGCTGAAGTGAGCTAAGGATCACATCACTGTACTCCAGCCTGGGCAACAGAGCGAGATCTTGTCACTATATAATTTTTAAAAAAAGACTTATTCCCATTTTGCAAGTTTAGAAACTGAGGTATTCTATCTTTTAAATAGTTTTCTTATCTTAATCTCTTTTAAAACTGATGATAATTCTGTGAAGGCTATCATTCTCCTATAAAATCACAAGCAATTATTTGGTACTATAAAACGTACCTCACAAAAAGCTGGCATTCCTCATAGAGTGGTATCTTTTGACTTCTTAAGTACAAGCCAATACTCTTAATATCACTTAAAACCATGCCAGGTTGAGCTCCTTCCTGTGTTAAATATCCTGGAGTCACGTCCTCAAGCCATTTAAAGAATTTACATCTATCAGCTTTGGGTCCATCACATGTATAAAAGAGACGACCCTAAGGTGAAAGAAAAAAGATCAAAATTTAGTGAAAAAAAATGCTTTTATTTTTCTATTGTTCTTGTATTTGTCAAGGCTTCTATGAAAACTGCTTGGCATTATTGTACTCTAGTAAATTAGTCAATATACAACTTAGCTTTATTATTAGCTTAAAATTTAAAATTTAAAACCACCTATTTTTCTATTTACTTTCTCTTTATCAAAAGATTACATTATTCTGAGAATAAAAGCTTATTTGAAAATGTGTTTCTCTGATTTAAAATGTTCACTATAAGCAACCTGAATGCTGTCTAGAAATACTGAATATCTTATGCATTTCTTTCTATTCCTTTTTCTCATTCACATTAAGTGCACACACCACAACCCAACAAGAACAAACACATGTAATTTGTTTTTTTTTAAACAAAATTCAGACGATACATTTTCTACTCTGTAGACTAGCCCTTGTATGCAACAATATAGTATGAGCAGGCAACTATGTCATCAAATAATCTTAAAAAGAAAGCAAAGACTTTTAGTGGCTATATTATATTTTAGTCCACAGTTATACCATTATTTATGAATTTTTGCTTTTGACACCTAAATTTAAATCCAAATTTACACACTTAGCTAAAGATAAAGTGGGTCATGCAAATGGTGGTTTACATAATGCAAACTGTATTATGAATGGAAGCACAGTTCAACAATGAGTACAAGCCATCAATCAACATACATTTCATGAATCTGACTTACTTCATAATATATTATTAAAAATATAAATTGTCAGCATATTTTTCTATTCCTCTGGCCTTATCTGTTACTTGTACTAGGGACTAAATAGTAAACTAGCTTCAATATTCATTCCTTTCAGGCTATTTCTGAATTCTCTAAGCTCTCAGGTTGGAACATATTCCCCTTCTCAGTGATCTCACTGTAACAGGCATATTCCTCCTAGTTTATCAACTACAGAATTATATAAAATTTTCAGCTGAGCATGGTGGCTTATGCCTGCAATCCTAGCACTTTGGGAGGCCAAGGCGGGAGGATCGCTTGAGCCCAGAAGTTCAAGGCTCCAGTCAGCTGTGATCATGTCACTGCACTCCAGCCTGGGCGACATAGTGAGACCCCGTCTCTAAGAAAATAATAATAATAATAATAATAAAATAAAAATACTATACAAAAAGTTCCTGAGCAACTTGAAGGTTAATCTTAACTCATATTTTTGTATCCTAGAGTACAGATAATTCTTTCAATAAAACTTTAAGCATTTACTGCATGTTAGGTACTAACACCTCAAATAGAATGCTCTTAATCAAGATTCAGTCTTTAACCTTATAATGAAGTAATAAGTACCTAAAGCCTTTATAAGACAAGTATTGGTATGGCAGGGGGAGGGGAAGCAAAAATACCTTATTTGGACCTTCCTTTTTAACCATGACAAGTTTTGCAGGTTGACTATGATGACAGGATGGTACATTATTTTCTACGTTTTTCAGGCTGTCTCCCTTCAATGATGTGTAAAATGATATGTCAACTTTTGAGAGAGCTTTGTGCAAGTTTTGTGCTAACCCAAACAGCAATATATTTAGATGTTCTACAAAAAAAAAGAAAGAGATACAGAAGAAAATTAAATAGAAAATAATTTTGTTTGTATCACATACATACTGTTTATAGCTAAATTTGATAGCTTTTATCAGAGTCATATATAATACACATATCCATTTTTTAAGAGGTATTTTCTGCTAAATTTAACAGGTCATTTGTAACAGTTCTAGTTAAAAAGAAAAAAGAAAGCGAGAGAGAGAGAGAGAGAGGGAGAAGGAAGGAAGGAAGGAAGGAAGGAAGGAAGGAAGGAAGGAAGGAAGGAAGGAAGGAAGGGGGATTGAGAAGATGGCACTGTAGGACCAACTAAGGATTGCAGCTCCCAGTGAAAGCACAGAGGGTGAGTGGACACCACATTTCCAGATGGATCTTTATTGCCCACAGACCAGGAGATTCCCAGGTGTGGGAGCCCCATGGGCCACCAGCGTAGCTGTTTGGGCCGGCGCAGCTATTTGGGCCGGCGCTGCAGCGCAGCAGTACTCCATACAAAATACACTGGTTTGGTTGCCCTGTTAAACTGGCAATTGGAGATTTCGGAAAGCAGATTAGCACGTTTATCTGATTAAATGGGACATAAACAGAAAGCCAGGACAGGAGATTCCAGGCAGCAACATTGTTTCAGCCGGCGCAGTGGGTCGCCGCACGCACGGGAAATCACACAGAACCCAGCATCCTTTCAGCAGGCAACTGGAACACCTGGGAGAGAGTCAACCGTTCAACTTAAAAAAAAAAAAGGGACTCTGAGGCAGGGAGCCAGGTGATAAGGCTCGGTGGGTCCCACCCCCACAAAAACAAACAAAACAGCAATTGGAAACGCTCAGGGTTCAGAGTTTCACGGCAAGCACAGCTGAACCCAGGATGGTGCGCTCAGTGGGAGAGGGGTGTCCGCCATTACCGAGGCACTCAACCCCTATGGAGGTACTCTGCCATTGCTGATGCAGCCTGCCATTACCGAGGCAACCCACCATAACAGAAAGAGTCCGCCATTACAGAGGCAGGCCACCATCACCACAGCAGTTCTAACCACAACCATATAAATAGGACTACAGGGAATTACACACGGCAGCAGGGCAGAGCCCGTGGCAGCAGGGAGGAGCCCAGAGCAGCTCAGCATAGCCACTACAGGCAGGCAGTGACTAGACTGCCTCCTCGCTGGGCAGGACAGTGCAACAGATATGCATAAATAAGGCCCTATCCCCCCGGGACAGAGCACCTGAGGAAAAAAAGGGCTTTATGAGTTCTGCTGCAGCAGACCTAAACGTACCTGCCTAGCAGCTCTGAATGAACAACGGAGCTCACAGCTCAGCACTTGAGCTCCTATAAAGTACAGACTGTCTCCTCAAGCAGCTCCCTGATTCCTGTATATCCAAAGAGTCATCTCACAAAGGACTGATCAGACTGACATTTGGCGGGCATCATTCAGGAACAAAGATAACAGAAGAAGAAACTGGTAGCAACCCTCACGGTTCCGCAGCTGCTAAAGGTGTTCCCCAGGCAAGCAGGGCCTGGAGTGGACCTCAACAGTCCTACAGCAGAGGGGACAGACTGTTAGAAGGAAAACTAAGATGTCCACTCAGAGACCCAATCGGAAAATCAGCAACTACTCAGACGACAGGTGGATAAATCCACAAAGATGGGAAGAAACCAGCACAAAAAGGAGGAAAACACCCGAAACCAGAACACCTCACCTCTTACAAGGGAACACAACTCCTCACCAGCAAGGGAACAAAGTTGGACAGAGAATGAGTGTGATGAAATGATGGAATAAGACTTCAGAAGGTGGGTAATGAGAAACTTCCGTGAGCTAAAAGAACATGTACTAACTCAATGCAAAGAAACTAAGAACCTTGAAAAAAGATTTGAGAAAATGATAACAAGAATGGACAACTTAGAGAGGAATATGAGTGAATTGAAGGAGCTGAAAAACACAACACGAGAACTTCGCGAAGCATGCACAAATTTCAACACCCGAATTTACCAAGCAGAAGAAAGGATATCAGAAATCAAAGATCAACTCAATGAAATAAAATGAGAAGGCAAGATTAGAGAAAAAAGCACAAAAAGGAATGAGCAAAGTCTCCAAGAAATGTGGGACTATGTGAACAGACCTAATCTATGTTTGATAGGTGTACCTGAATGTGACGAAGAGAATGAATCCAAGCTGGAAAATACTCTTCAGGATATTATCCAGGAAAATTTCCCCAACCTAGCAAGGCAGGCCAATATTCAAGTCCAGGAAATACAGAGAACACCACAAAGATATTCCGCAAGAAGAGCAACCCCAAGGCACATAATCGTCAGATTCACCAGGGTTGAAATGAAGGAGAAAATGCTAAGGGCAGCTGGAGAGAAAGGTCAGGTCACCCACAAAGGGAAGCCCATCAGACTCATAGCAGATCTCTCGGCAGAAACTCTACAAGCCAGAAGAGAGTGGCGGCCAATATTCAACATCTTTAAAGAAAAGAACTTTCAACCCAGAATTTCACATCCAGCCAAACTGAGCTTCATAAGTGAAGGAAAAATAAAATCCTTTGTGAACAAGCAAGTACTCAGAGATTTTTGTCACCACCTGCTTTACAAGAGAGCTCCTAAAAGAGGCACTACACATAAAAAGCGACAACCGGTACCAGCCATCCCAAAAACATATGAAATGCTAAAGAGCATCAATAAAATGAAAAATCACCATCAACTAACGGGCAAAACAGCCAGCTAGCATCAAAATGGCAGAATCAAATTCACACATAACAATTTTAACCCTAAATGTAAATGGGCTAAATGCACCAATCAAAAGACACAGACTGGCAAATGGGATAAAAAGCCAAAACCCATCGGTGTGCTGTATCCAGGAAACCCATCTCACATGCAAGGATACACAAAGGCCCAAAATAAAGAGATGGAGGAAGACTTACCAAGCAAATGGAGAGCAAAAAAAAGCAGGAGTTGCAATTCTTGTCTCTGATAAAATAGACTTTAAAGCAACAAAGATCAAAAGAGACAAAGAAGGACATTACATAACGGTAAAAAGATCGATACAACAAGAAGAGCTAACGATCCTAAATATATATGGACCCAATACAGGAGCACCCAGATATATAAGGCAAGTTCTTAATGACTTACAAAGAGACTTAGACTCCCACATAATAATAGTGGGAGACTTTAACACTCCACTGTCAATATTAGACAGATCAACCAGACAGAAAATTAACAAGGATATCCAGGACTTGAACTCAGACCTGGAACAAGCAAACCTGATAGACATTTACAGAACTCTCCACCCCAAATCCACAGAATATACATTCTTCTCAGCACCACATCACACCTACTCTAAAATTGACCACATAATTGGAAGTAAATCACTCCTCAGCAAATGCAAAACAACTGAAATCATAACAAACAGCCTCTCAGACCATAGTGCAATCAAGTTAGAACTCAGAATTCAAAAGCTAACCCAGAACCACGCAACTTCATGGAAACTGAACAACTGGCTCCTGAATGTTGACTGGATAAACAATGAAATGAAGGCAGAAATAAAGAAGTTCTTCGAAACCAAGGAGAACAAAGACACAACATACCAGAATCTTTGAGACACATTTAAAGCAGTCTCTAGAGATAAATATATAGCAGTAAGTGCCCACATGAGAAGAGTGGAGAGATCCAAAATGGACAGTCTGTTGTCAAAATTGAAAGAGCTAGAGAAGCAAGATCAAAAAACTCAAAACCTAGCAGAAGACAAGAAATAACTAAGATCAGAGCAGGACTGAAGGAGATAGAGACAAAAAAAATCCCTTCAAAAAATCTGTAAATCCAAGAGATGGTTTTTTGAAAAGATCAACAAAATAGACCACTAGCCAGATTGATAAAAAAGAAATGAGAGAATAACCAAATAGATGCAATAAAAAACAATAAAAGGGAAATCACTACAGATTCCACAGAAATTCAAACCATCATCAGAGAATATTACAAACAATTCTATGCACATAAACTAGTAAACCTGGAAGAAATGGATAAATTCCTGGACATCTATGTCCTCCCAAGCCTAAATCAGGAGGAAGTCGAAACCATGAATAGACCAATAACAAAGTCTGAAGTTGAGGCAGCAATTAAGAGCCTACCACACAAAAAAAGCCCAGGTCCAGATGGGTTCACAGCCGAATTCTACCAGACACACAAAGAGGAGCTGGTACCATACCTTCTGAAACTATTCCAAATAATCCAAAAAGAGGCAATCCTTCCCAAATCATTTTATGAGGCCAAAATCATCCTGATACCAAAACCCGGCAGAGACTCAACAAGAAAAGAAAACTTCAGGCCAATATCCATGATGAACATAGACGCAAAAATCTTCAATAAAATACTGGCAAGCCGATTGCAACAGCACATCAAAAAGCTTATCCATCATGATCAAGTGGGATTCATCCCAGGGATGCAAGGCTGGTTCAACATACGCAAGTCTATAAACGTAATTCACCACATAAACAGAACCAAAAACAAAAACCACATGATTATCTCAATTGACGCAGAGAAGACCTTTGACAAAATTCAACAGCCCTTTATGCTAAAAACTCTCAATAAACTCGGTATTGATGGAACGTATCTCCAAATAATAAAAGCTATTTATGACAAACCAATAGCCAATATCATACTGAATGGGCAAAAACTGGAAGCATTCCCTTTGAAATCTGGCACTAGAAGGATGCCCTCTCTCACCACTCCTATTCAATATAGTACTGGAAGTTCTAGACAGAGCAATCAGGGAAGAAAAAGAAATAAAGGGTATTCAAATAGGAAAGGTGGAAGCCAAACTATCTCTATTTGCAGACGACATGATAGTATATCTAGAAGACCCCATCGTCTCAGCCCAAAAACTCCTGAAACTGATAAGCAACTTCAGCAAAGTCTTAGGATACAAAATTAATGTGCAAAAATCACAAGCATTCCTATACACCAATAACAGACTTAAAGAGAGCCAAATCAAGAATGAACTGCCATTCACAAGTGCTACAAAGAGAATAAAAGACCTAGGAATACAACTCACAAGAAACGTAAAGGACCTCTTCAAGGAGAACTACAAACCACTGCTCAATGAAATAAGAGAGGACACAAACAGATGGAGAAACATTCCATGTTCATGGTTAGGACGAATCAATATCGTGAAAATGGCCATACTGCCCAAAGTAATTTACAGATTCAACGCTATCCCCATCAAGCTACCAATGACCTTCTTCACAGAACTGGAAAAAACCACCATGAACTTCATATGGAACCAAAAGAGAGCCTGCATAGCCAAGTCAATTCTAAGCAAAAAGAACACAGCAGGAGGCATCACACTACCAAACTTCAAACTCTACTACAAGGCTACAGTAACCAAAACAGCATGGTACTGGTACCAAAACAGAGATATAGACCAATGGAGCAGAATAGAGGCATCGGAGGCAACACAACATATCTACAACCATACAATCTTTGATAAACCTGACAAAAACAAGCAATGGGGAAAGGACTCCCCGTTTAATAAATGATGTTGGGAAAACTGGCTAGCCATGGGCAGAAAGCAGAAACTGGAGCCCTTCCTGACACCTTACACTAAAATTAACTCCAGATGGATTAAAGACTTAAACATAAGACCTGGCACCATAAAAACCCTGGAAGAAAATCTAGGCAAAACCATCCAGGACATAGGAGTAGGCAAGGACTTCATGAACAAAACACCAAAAGCATTGGCAACAAAAGCCAAAATAGACAAATGGGACCTAATCAAACTCCACAGCTTCTGCACAGCAAAAGAAATAGTCACTAGAGTGAACTGGCAACCAACAGAATGGGAAAACATTTTTGCAGTTTACCCATCTGACAAAGGGCTGATATCCAGAATTTATAAAGAACTCAAACAGATTTACAAAAAAAAGCAAATAAGCCCATTAAAAAATGGGCAAAGGATATGAACAGACACTTTACAAAAGAAGACATACATGAGGCCAACAAACATATGAAAAAATGCTCATCATCACTGGTCATTAGAGGGATGCAAATCAAAACTACATTGAGATACCATCTCATGCCAGTTAGAATGGCGATCATTAAAAAATCTAGAGACAACAGATGCTGGAGAGGATGTGGAGAAATAGGAACACTTTTACACTGCTGGTGGGAGTGTAAATTAGTTCAACCATTGTGGAAGACAGTGTGGTGATTCCTCAAGGACCTAGAAATAGAAATTCCATTTGACCCAGCAATCCCATTACTGGGTATATATCCAAAGGATTATAAATCGTTCTACTATAAGGATCCATGCACACGAACGTTCCTTGCAGCAGTGTTTACAATAGCAAAGACCTGGAACCAACCCAAATGCCCATCGATGATAGACTGGACAGGGAAAATGCTGCACCATGCAGCAATCAAAAACGATGAGGTAATGTCCTTTGTAGGGACATGGATGAATCTGGAGAACATCATTCTCAGCAAACTGACACAAGAATAGAAAATGAAATACCGCATATTCTCACTCATAGGTGGGTGATGAACAATGAGAACACATGGACACAGGGAGGGGAGCACTACACACTGGGGTCTATTGTGGGGAACAGGGGAGGGACAGCGAAGCGGGGAGCGGGGGAGGGCTGGCATGGGGAGAAATGCCAGATGTGGGTGAAGAGAGGAAGGCAGCAAATCACAGTGCCACGTGTGTACCTATGCAACCATCTTGCATGTTCTGCACATGTACCCCAAAACCTAAAATGCAATAATTAAAAAAAAAAAAAAAGAAAGACTCTAATTTTAAAAAGGTAATACTGGGCCAGCACAGTGGCTCATGCCTGTAATTCCAGCACTTTGGGGAGGCCAAGGCAGACAGATCATGAGGTCAGGAGATGGAGACCATCCTGGCTAACACAGTGAAACCCTGTCTCTACTAAAAATACAAAAAAAATTAGCTGGGTATGGTAGCATGCACCTGTAGTCCCAGCTACTCAAAAGGCTGAGGCAAGAGAATCACTTGTACCTGGGAGGCAGAGGTTGCAGCGAGCTGAGATCTCACCACTGCACTCCAGCCTGGGTGACAGAGCAAGACTCCATCTCAAGTGAGCAAGACTGCTCCACTGCACTCTAGCCTGAGCAACAGAGTGAGATCCTGTCTCCAAAAAAAAAAAAAAGAAAATTGTCATTTCCCACTTTCAAAACTCAGTTTTGATCTGAAATTAGAATAACAGTTACTGTCAAAAACTAGCATTAACATATGAAAAATAAATCATGAATGAGGAATTTACTATAAAAATGCACAACATAACATATTACACTCTCACAATTCTATTATTTACATGAAACAGCAATCAGAATACTATAAAAATATAACAGTCATACCTATGAGGCAAGCTGTGAAAGTCTGCTTATAATGAGCAGGAGACTGAAAAACAGCTGGTATGTGAATTTGCCTTTGTGGAAGATAAGCAGACTTTAATTTCTGCCCACTTGGAAAGCATAGCTCAGAGCCACTTATCTCCTGCAATGGAATAATTCAAGTTATAATAACAACTCCAGAAAAATACTGTTTACTAATGAGTAAATTATTTTTCATAGACATATTTTTTTAAATATTATTTTCTTTTGATTTCTAGGATCCTTGAAAACTACTTTCAGATTTTAAATGAGAAACCAAATATAGCAAGAATAGCTATTAATGGCACTTTTAACCCTAAATAAGAGTAACTTTTCTTATCTGCCCCTTAATAAGTTTTTATATATATTTTGCTAAGAAAAAGTTAACTGATGCGAATGGATCATTATGTATCTTTATTTCTGGTTATGACTGTAATAAGGATTATTCACAACTAATGTGAAATAAGATACACCTTTACCGTAATGATCACTTAATCAGCAAACACAATTGACAATCAAAAGTAAAAACAATCATTAAAGCATTAAAAACAATCAGTAGTAGTGATGAAAACAGAAATAGGAACTATCACTTATTAAGTATTGATTATGTGTCAGACACTGCACCAGACAGTTTCAAATAAATCATTTCATTCAATGTTCATTAAGATTAGGAGAGATTTTAAGTAAAAGAAAGTGATGTAACTGTAGCTCAGAGTTAGGATCAAATAAAAGCCATCTGCCCAAATCGCTCTGATGCAGTATATTTTGATAATTCTTTTACTGAAATTCAGACAATAACTACTGAAAAAATGCATTACAAGACTGGTACATTTCCTCACCTGTAAATCCTTTACACTGTCATAGCAGGTAGATCCTCCTAATACATTTTTAATTTCCTCTGTCTTAGAAGTCTGCTTTAAATTCAGAGAAAATTCTTTCTTTCTGGAAACCAAATCTTGACTGCTAAAATCCTGCTGCTGTTGATAGAGCATGCCTTTTATCATTTGCAAATGCACAGAGTCTAAAGAGCTTCCACTGATAGCATCACTCTGTCTTTTACTTGTATCTATAAAATGCATCCCAGAAATAGCCTCAGCAAAGAAGCCATTGGTTATTCTCTTATCAACTCTGTTTGGAGTAGTCATGTTACATCGAGATGTGTTTTGATATTTCAGCCACTTGCTCTGAGTAGATATATTAGTGAGAAGTGAAACATCCCCTGGAGTCACTTCCCTAGATTCTCCACAGAAAGAGGTTTCATTATGATCCTCAGGCTCAATGCTAAAAGAAAGAACTGCTGACTCTTCACACAAGTTCAGCTTCGGGGAACCAGAAGACTCACATGTGTTAGAGTTGATCATATATGAATGAGAGTCTAAGTCAGGTGGTCCATCAGTAGGTGGCAAAGTAATAAGTGGAACCCGGGTTCTACTTACTAATGAAAGCCGTTGAAGGTTCTCATTCTCCAGAGAACTGGATTTTTTCATTCCTGAAAGAAAACAGAATGCTGATTAGATAAAAATGTACTAGTAGTCATCACCTAGGCTCTAGAAAACAGTGGGTATATAAAAGCAAAAAGTAGCAACTTGCCCTGAAAATATATATATATTATTTCCTTAAAAAAAATTAATGGTTTTAATCTCAAAAAATAAAGATTTCAAAGCTTAATTCATATATACTGAAACTTCCTTAGGGTTGATAAAGTCCTCTTTTTCTTTTCCTCCTTCACTACGAATTTTTTTTTAATTACTAAATTGTATTTACATACCACTTTTGCTTTCAAAGCACTTTAAAGCTAGTAACAACAAAAATGCATCATTCTCATTTTACAAATGAGCTTACAGAAGCTTAGAGGTAGCATAACTACAAAGTGGCAGAGTCAGGATGAGAACCTCGATGAGTTTTTGATTGAGAACCTAGACTAGTTTTTTTATACCTACTCCATTCTTTCTCCAGAAACTGAAGTTCATGGTTCATTTATATGACTACATGATTGTAACTTCCTTTATATATTTTTACCCTCATGAATTATGTTACCCTTCATGGTGAAAAGATTTTAGCTTTATTTTGAGTTAATGGTGTTTGATAAAATTCTGGTAAACTCATAGCAAATTCTGTCTGAAGGAGTTTAATGATTCCTTCTGTGTGTCAGCAGCTTAAGTGATAGATATATTCCTAAAAATCTAAGAAGCAATAAATATTTGTTGAATACATAAATAAATGAATAATACTGCATCAGAATTATGTTAGCTTATAGTTTTTATCTGATATTACTATGGATTCCTATTTTATAATAATATATCTTCCTGACAGAGTTTCTGTTTTGCTGGAAATATACTCTGGAGATCATGTGGAAAGTAGCAGAGCAGTAGGTGAGCCAATGAATATTCTTTTTTATAAAGTGCTATGTTGTAATTCTAACAAGTTGATCAAGCAACACTGAGAAAAGTTAAAAATCCATTAAAGAAGTAAAAGATTCATAGTATAACTGAAAATATTATTTCATTGCCATGTCACTTGTTCTTGAATACCCACTCCCATGTATTTGATTCTTCTCTACCTTGTTGCCTTTTATCAACCACACCCATAAAACCTCTCTAACCCAATTACTAATTCACATTACAAATTTTTTATATCATCCATCCAAAATCAAAAAAATTATCTACAACTCACCCCTCACCCAAATAAACTCAGAACCAGGGGAAGATACATTGATAAGATTATAAGAAAAGAGAGAAGAAAAGAAATTTTAGAGGAAGGGATACTAGAGAATAACATTGTATTTATCAAGAAGCAGAAGCTGACTCATACTGAAGAGCCAAAATATATGTAAACCCAGAGTCCTAGGAATGCTGGGATACCAAAGCAAAAAGAGAAACTACGAGGTTATGCTAAGGTCAATCAATGGTGTTGGTGAAACTGTCACAATGAGTCATTCCTCTGGAACAGGAAGGGTCTGTAAAGGGGTTAGACACTGGAGTTACAGCTGTAAGACGTATTGACAATGGTAGAAGATACTTTCAGGGGTCTGTGTGACAAAGTTGGGAGGAGAAACAAGAAGGAACTAGATAGCTAGAAGGGAATATTATGTTTGGAATAGCTACCTATGATAGAAAAAGTTCAAAGGAAAAAAGGTTATGGAAAGGCTTCAAGGGGTATGACATTGAATCCGGTTCTAAGACATTTTTAGTGTAACAATCACTCAAATAAAAAACCTTCATCTTAAATGGATAGCCAGATATTAGAGCAATATGGTAACGACTACCCTCCAAGTGGAGAAAATGAAGATCACCAGGTAAAGATCTTGCTTTCAGGGACCTCTCAGAGAATTCAACTACGAAGTCTTCATCTCTTGAGTTCAAAGAAAAGGTAGAAACAGGGCTCAATGTACAGATGTTTTGTTCTGGTGATGTCACCTATACAGAAAGAAGAATCAAAACTACAGATCAAAACCTTCTGATTTTTTCTTTAGTTTGAATGAATTTGAGTAATCTATATTATAAAAATAATGATGTAAAGCACATCATGCAGAGCTATGGTAGGGGCAAAGACTATAAAACTTCTTCCAAAAAGGACAGAACTTACTAAAATCAACAAGAATAACAGCAAAATACAGAGCATAAAATCTTTCAGATTTATTTGAAATGGGTCAGACTCTGATTTGAACTGGTCTGGGTTATTAGGATTTGGTCCTGAAGATCTACTAAAAATACAAAAATTAGCCAGGCATGGTAGTGCACGCCTGTAGTCCCAGCTACTCAGGAGGCTGAGGCATAAGAATCACTTGTACCTGGGAGGTAGAGGCTGCAGTGAGCTGAGATGGCGCCACTGAACTTGAGCCTGGGAAAAAAATAATTTTTTTGGTATTTTTGGTATATTTGGTATGTGGGGTTTCACCACATTGGCCAGGCTGGTCTCGAACTCCTGACCTCAAGTGATCCCAAAGTGCTGGGATTATAGGCGTGAGCCACCACACCCAACCTCATTTTTCAAGTTTATCTTGTCTTCATTTCCTTTCTAAAAATCCCTCCTAACCTTCTAAGTTTTAATTGGTTATTTTAATTCTATTTCTTCCTTTCTAATTATGCATGTGTCATTTCCTGTCATATTGCAAAGATCAGAACATCTTCAAACAACAAAGAAAGCAGTCATCTACATTTTGTTAGATTCTAACAAAAATTACTCTGCAGGCCAGGTGACATGGCTCGCACCTGTAATCTCAGCACTTTGGGAGGCTGAAGTGGGCAGATCACCTGAGGTCAGGAGTTTGAGACCAGCCCGGCCAACATGGTAAAACCCCATCTCTACTAAAAATACAAAACTACGTGGTGATAGGCACCTGTAGTCCCAGCTACCTGGGAGGCTGAGGCAGGAGAATCTCTTGAACCTGGGAGGCAGAGGTTGCAATGAGTCAGGACTGTGCCACTGCACTCCAGCCTGGGCAACAGAGCGAGACTCTGTCTTAAAAAAAAAAAAAAATACTCTGCTGTTTTATCACCAAAAAATATTATTAGTTAGTTATTGATAAACATTCTTGATCATATTTAATAAATCATCTAGTCTTAAGATTTTATCTTTTTAGATTTTAATAGATTCATTTCTTGTGAGACTACCAAAAATTTTTTATTCTCAACTATTAAAGCTCTATTCATATCATACCTTATTTGCTTTCCATGAAGTCTTCTCTGCTGATTTAAAATTATAATCCAAATAATGATATAAATGTTCTGAATCTTTAGGAGAAAAACCTAAAATTGCTGTGGAAAATAAAGCAAGGATCTTTACATAACAGTTTGTTCAATGTCACCTATTTTTTTAATGTTATATTTTACTTACAATCATTTTCAATTGAGTCCTTCTCAGACCCAGATAGCACTTTAAAATTGTCTTCAATGTTAAAGCTAGTACCTCCTTTTGGAAAGTTTTCTTTATCTGCGAACTAGAAAACAGAGATCTACTTATCAGTTTATTTAGTAAAAAGAAAAATTACGTGTGCACACAAATTTATAGTGCATCTACATATGTACACATGCATATACAGTTTATGATTATAATTTGAGACACAGAAAAACGGAAACATTATGAAGCCAATTCTATTCAGGTAAAGCATAGTACATTATGATTCATCAATTTTTTTTTTTATACTTTTTGATTCAGAGTCTCAGTCTGTAGTACAGACTGGAAGTACAGTGGCATGATCTTGGCTTACTGCAAACTCCACCTCCTGGGTTCAAACAATTCTACTGCCTCAGCCACCCATGTAGCTGGGACTATAGGCACATGCCACCACAACCAGCTAATTTTTGAAACCCCAGTAGAGATGGGGTTTCACCGTGTTTGCCAGTTTGATCTCGAACTTCTGACCTCAGGTGATCTGCCTGCGTCAGACTCTCAAAGTGCTAGGATTACAGGTGTGGGCCTCTGTGGCCAGCCTTCATCAATTCTTATGACTCATTTTTCTTACATTTTAATATCTTTGAAATAGGGAAACACTTTAAAAGTGATGATATTTTTACATCTCTATAGCACAGGCAACAGTTGTGACATAGTTGTCATTGGCTGTGCATATGCAAATGAATGCAAATTAGTCATATTGTTCATTTGATAATCACTTAAATATGAATTAGTTTGTGCATTGCTAATATCAAACATGTTCTAAGTAATTTTGTTGTTTAAATGTCTTCAAAAGATTATACTGTGATTTAGCCCTAAACAAAAAATTACTATGTTCATAGAAAGGCAAGAAAACAAAGCAGTGTAATATACAATTAAAAACTGTGCCTAGCAGAACATAGTGGCTCACGTCTATAAACCTGCACTTTGGAAGGCCAAGGCAGAAGGATCACTTGAGGATAGGAGTTCAAAACCAGCCTGGGCAGCATAATAAGACCCAGTCTCTACAAAAATTGTATACATATGTTTGTGTATGTTGTTTGTATGAATATGTATCTATCTATATATATATATATATGCTTAAATAAGCCTAAAAGCATTGTTTCAATAAATATAACATTAGAAGTCTAAGTGAAGATTAAAAAGTTCTAGAGATCCATTTCAAAACAATGTAAATATACTTAACACTACTGAACTGGTTGAAACGGTAAATTTTATGATACATGGTTTTCACCACAGTAAACATTTTATAATGTTTCTAAAGTCTAAGATATAAAACACTGCGTAATGTTTAAGTGACTGCTCTTCGTTCTTAGTGCTATATAACAAACTGGTGTATTTTATAGTGATAGTATCTCAGAATTTGATGGAATACAGAATTTTTTTTTAAGTCCAGAGATTGCTATATGCAAGCAATGTCATGCTTATTCAAAAAAATCACTTATCTGTTTGTAGATCTAATCATTTTGTTTTAGAACATTTCTGGTAAACTCAGAATATAAAGCATATAATCAAAACTGATATAGATAACAACCAATAGAAATAAAAATAATAGATTTAAGTTTCTTTTTCAATATGGAATGCCTCTAAATGTTATTCTCCTCTCAAAAAATACAGAGGATGAGAAACAGAAACAGAAATTCCATATTTGATGAAACTAAGAAACAATGGTAATCCTGAATTATAATATAATATTAAGAAGATGGAGAATAGTATAGACTTGGCAATATCAAGAAAATCAACCAGAGCACCTAGTAAAGGAAAGCCTAATAAGAAGTAAACTGATTTGCCCCAATAACCCTACAAGGGTTCAGAAACTGAAGGCCACACCTAAAAGTAGGATACAATGGACTGAAATATTTGACAGAAGATTCTAGAAAGAAATCCAGAAAACACTGAAGGAAAAAAAACAACAAATAATTTTTTTTTAATTTCATAAGATGAGTAGATACGTATCTGCAGAATGAAAAGACCCACTGAGTACAACATATTAATGAAACCCGAAGGAAAGAACATCACAGGGAAATTTCAGAATATCAGGATTTTTTATTTTTTTATTTTTTTTTGGAAAGTAGGTCTCATTCTGTCACCCAGGCTGGAGCGCACTGGCACAATTTCAGCTCACTGCAACCTCTGCCTGCCAGGCTCAAGGGATTTTCCTGCCTTAGTCTCCCAAGTAGCTGGAATTACAGGCACATGCCACCATGCCTGGCTAATTTTTAATTTTGTGTAGATATGGGGTTTTGCCCCACTGCCCAGACTGGTCTCGAACTCCTGAGCTCAGGTGATCTGCCCACATCAGCCTCCCAAAGTGCTGGAACTATCTTGCACTTTGGAAGGTCATGCATGGCTAGAATTTTAAGGTCACCAAAAATTGCTAAGCCGGGCACAGAAGCTCACGCCTGTAAATGCCAGCACTTTGGGAGGCTGAGGTAGATGGTCACTTGAGGTCAGAAGTTTGAGACCAGCCTGGTCAAGATGGTGAAACTGAGTCTCCATTAAAAATACAAAAATTAGCCAGGTGTGGTGGTGCATGCCTGTAGTCCCAGCTACTCCAGAGGCTGAGGCAGGGAATCAATTGAATTCGGGAGGCAGAGGTTGCAGTGAGCCTAGATCACGCCACTGCACTCCAGCCTGGGTGACAGAGCCAAACTCCATCTCAAAAAGGAAAAACAAATTTCTAGAGGGAGACCAGGCACTAAGGCTCACACCTGTAATCCCAGCACTTTGGGAGGCTGAGGTGGTAGGATCACTTGAGGGCAGATGTTTGAGACCTGCGCAGCCAACACAGGAAGACTGCATCTCTAGAAAAAGTTTTTAAAAATGAGCTAGGTGTGCATCTGTAGTCTCAGCTACTCAGGAGGCTGAGGTAGGAGGATGGCTTGGGCCCAGGACTTTGAGGCTACAATGAGTTATAATCGTGCCACTGTACTCCAGCCTAGGCAACAGAGTGAGACTTTGTATCAAATGATAATAATAATTCTAGAGAGAGAAGGCACTGTTAAATTTAAATTTTAAAAGAAGCCAGGCACAATGGTTCACTGCTGTAATCCCAGCACTTTTGGAGGCTGAGGTGGGTGGATCATTTGAGGTCAGGTGTTCAAGACCAGCCTGGCCAATATGGCAAAACCCATCTCTACTAAAAATACCAAAAAAAAAATTAACTGGATGTGGTAGTACATGCCTGTGGTCCCAGCTACTCAGGAGGCTGAGGCAGGAGAATCACTTAAGCCTGGGAAATGGAGGTTGCAGTGAGCTGAGTTCGTGCCACTTCACTCAAACCTGGGCAACAGAGCCAGATTCTGTCTCAAAACTTACACATACACACACAAAAAAAATAAAAAAGCAGATCATATCCAAATTCTATACTGTCAAACTACTAATCAAGTATGAAAGCAAAAAAGAACATTTTCAACTTGCAAAGTCCCCCAAATTTTATCCCCCTTGCTCTCTTTCTTGGGAGTACTCAAAGATGTACCCCAGCATAACAAGAAAGGAGATGTAATGTTCAAGATGTAAGCAACCCATGCTAGGAAAGCAGTAAAGGGCATTCTCAAGATGTCAATTATACAGTGCATACTGAAGCAGGCAGATGAAAAACCTGGAAAAGATGCCATAGGAAAATAATGGAACGAACACCGAGTATCTGAAAAGTTTGTATGAATTCCTGTATTAAAAAGTACTTTATAAAGCTTTTGGAGGGTATGGCAAAACTTTGCCCCAGTATTCAAAGAACACTAAGCAAATTTTAAAAAGAGACAATTACAAACCGAGAAAAAGCAAAAAGTTATAAAGGGAAGAAAAGGTAATTATAGTACACCAGTTGGCTCAGCAGTAAAATTATTAAAACATTTATAAGGAAACATTTAACATATATTTATCTTAAAATTGTAATATAGCTGTTAATAAATAGGCACCTGGAAGAATATAAAGGAGGGATTCAGAAACAACTAATTTTACTGTAGCCACTCTAGCCACTGTAATCATCAGCTCTTTTTAAAGACAGTGCAAAATAATAATAGTTAATAAAAGCATTAAGGTGCTTTTATTAATAATAATGTTTTTATTAATAAAAAACATTGAGTGAATACTTAGAGTTCTGGGCTCCAGAAATCACAAAAAGTGCTGACAGATTTGATTATATAAACTAAAACATTCAATTTTAGAAAAATCATAATCAGGCCAGGCACAGTGTCAAATGCCTAGAATCCCAACACTTTGGGAGGCCGCGACAAGTGTATTACTTGAGCCCAGGAGTTCTAAACCAGTCTAAGCAAAATGGTAAAACCCTATCTCTATAAAAACTGTAAAAATTAGCCAGGCTTTGTGGTGTGTACCTGTAGTCCCAGCTACTCAGGAGGCTAAGGTGGGAGAATTACTTGAGCCTGGGAGGCAGAGGTTGCAGTGAGCCGACACCATGCCCATTGCACTCCAGCCTGGGCAACAGAGTGAGACTCCTTCTCAAAAAAAAAAAATCAGAGTCAAAGCACTAATATGTTGGAGAAAAATGACAAAGGGTTAATTTTCTTAGTATATAAAGAGCAAAGAACTGCTACAAATCAAATATGCCATAACATACAAAGAACCTCTATACCGAAATTATAAAAATTACTAGGAGATACTGCAGCAGATTGAAATAAATAGAGGAAAATATTTTTATAATATTAAAAATTTATCAGTAACATATTGTAAAAATGTTAATTCTCCTCAAAATTTATATGCACAATGAAATTTCATCCAAATTCCCAGCTTGTGTGTATGTGTGAAAATTGTTAAGCAAGTTCTAACTGTATACACAAATGTAAAAAAAAATGAGAAGAATAAGATGGGAAGATTTAAAGACATGTAGATAGCAATCGAGCATGGTGGCTCACGCCTGTAATCCCAGCACTTTGAGAGGCCAAAGCAGGCAAATCACCCGAGGTCAGGAGTTCAAGACCAGCCTGACCAACATGGTAAAACCCCATCTCTACTAAAAATACAAAATTAGCAATGAGCCTGTATAATGCCACTGCACTCCAGCCTGGGTAACAAAGTGAGATTCTGTCTAAAAATAAAAATTTTAAAAAATGGAAGAAAGACAGAAAACACATACTTTGTGACTTCTGAAATTGCAGACCAATAAATCAGAAGAGAAACTAACAAGAGACCCATAATGTACGGATACTTGATTCATGGCAAAAGAATTAAGAAAAATAGATTTTTCTTTTTCTTTATTTTTTTTGAGAAATACTGATTTTAATTAAACATAAGGAAAACTCTAATTATCCGTCATCTTTCAGCCTAAAGAAAAAAAAATTTTTCAATAAATGATGCAAAGCAAATGAATATTCATATGGAGAAAATATGTAACTTTACATAAACTGTACTCAATACATAAAAATCAATTACAGGTAATCTGTAGATCAAAATATAAAATGTAAATTAATAAAGCTTCACAAGATAATACAAGCAAATATCTTCATGATCTTGAGGTAAAGAAAGATTTTTTTTTCTTTGAGACAGGGTCTCACTCTGTCACCCAGTGCAGTGGCATGATCATGGATGGCTCAAGGCAGCCTCAACCTCCCAGGCTGAAGCAATCCTCCTACTTCAGCCTGCTTAGTAGCTGGGACTATACATGCACATCATGACATCTAACTAATTAAAAAAATTTTTTTTTTGTAGGGACAGAGTCTCACTGTGTTGCCCAGGCTGGTCTTGAAGTCCTCACCTTAAGTGATCCTCCTGCTTCAGCCCCTCCAAGTCTGGGATTACAGGTGTGAGCCACTGCACCGGCCAGAGGAAGATTTCTTAAACAAGATACAAAAGCACTCATTGTAAAGGAAATAACAAATAAGTTGTATTACATTAAAAATGATAAACTAGGGCCAGGCACAGTGGCTCATGCCTATAATCCCAACACTTTGGGAGGCCGAAGCAGGAGGATCATGAGGTCAGGAGTTCGAGACCAACCTGGTCAACATGGTGAAACACTGACTCTACTAAAAATACAAAAATCAGCTGGGCATGGTGGCAGGCACCTGTAATCCCAGCTATGTGGGAGGCTGAGGCAGGAGAATCACTTGAACCCTGGAGGTGGAAGTTGCAGTGAGCCAAATCACGCCACTGCACTCCAGCCTGGGCAACAAAACAAGACTCCATCTCCAAAAATAAAAATAAAAAATTATAAACTAGGCCAGAAGTGATGGTTCACACCTATAACCCAAACACTTTGGGATGCTGAGGCAGGAGGATCGTTTGAGCCCAGGAGTTGGAAACCAGCCTGTGCAACTTGGCAAAGTCCCATCTCTTAAAAAAAAATTTTTAATTAGCTGGGCAGCCGAGCGTGGTGGCTCCTGCCTGTAATCCCAGCACTTTGGGAGTCCGAGGCAGGCAGATCACTTGAGGCCAGATGTTTGAGAACAGCCTGGTCAACACAGCAAATTGTTAAGCTAGTTCAAATGTATATACAACATACTAAAAATACAAAAAATTAGCCAGGCATGATGGCATATGCCTGAATCCCAGCTACTCGGGAGGCTGAGGCCGGAGAATTGCTTGAACCCAGGAGACACAGGTTGCAGTGAGCTGAGATCATGCCACTGTACTCTAGCCTGGGCAACAGAGCAAGACCTTATCTATAAATAAATAAATAAATAAATAAATAAATAAATAAGTTGGGTGTAGTATTGGGCACAGGTAGTCCAAGCTACTTGGGAGTCTGAGGCAGGAGGGTTGCTTGAGCCCAAGAAGTCAAGACTGCAGTGAGCCGTGTTCATGCACTACACTCCAGCCTGGGTGACAGAGTTAAGACTCTGTCTCAAAAATACAAACAAACAAAAAAGACAAACTTTGATTTATCAAAGAAACCATTAAGAGTGAAAAGGTATGTAAGGGTCAGGAAAGATATTTGCAGAGCATACAATTGACAATGAGAAGGTATCCAAATTACAAAAGAATTACAACAAATCTTCGAAAACAAGCACATCAATTAAAAAATAAGGAAGAAAGCAGAACAGACACTACATCAAAGAGGATAAAGAGATGGCCAATAGGCATACAAAAAAAGACGTATGGCAGGCAGGAAAATGCAAATTAAACCTATAACTGAAGTACCAGTATATATCCACCAGAATAGCTAAAATTGAAAACAAAAAACAGTCAGCATCAAGTGTTGGTAAAGATGTAGAGTGACAGGGACTCTTATACACTTCTGATGGAGATGTAAATTATAAAAACCACTTTGGAAACCAGTTTGGCATTATGTACTAAAAATAAATATATCCTATCCAGTGACTTAATGATGATACTCCTAGGTAGTATAACCAACAGAAGTATGTTACACGTGTGTGTATATGTACATGTTCATAATGGTACCTGAATGTTTGTAGCAGTAATATCTGTAATAGTCCCTAAACACAAATAACATAAACATCTGAAGAATGGATAAATTGTGATATATTTATGCAAGAGCATACTACACCAGCAATGAAAATGAATAAATTGTAGCCACAGGCAACAACATAAATGAATTTCAAAACTGCAAAGTTAAACAAAAGAGGGTATACACAAAGAATACACTGTGTATGTTTTTATTTATATAAAGTTTTAAAAGCATAGCTAATATATAGTGCTATACATCAAGACAGTGGATACCTCAGGGAAAAGCAAAAAGGGTAGTGATTGAAAAGGAGCAGGAGAGCTTCTGGGATGCTGGTAACGCTCTATTTGTTAAAGGTAGAGGTTATATGAGTGTTTACTTTGTGGTGATTTACTTATTTTATATATATATATATATATATATATATATATATAAAATGCTTTTTTCTTCATTTTTTCTAATATGTATTTTGATTTAACAAAAAGGGAAATTTTAAAGAAAATCTCAGTGATGGCGACTGTTTCAAATACATGCTTATCATTCTCATCTCATGACCTCTATTTTCATCCCCACAAACCTGCCTTTGGTAGCAACAGTGTCATATTTAAAGAGAGACGAATATAACAGAAGAAATAAAATTTAGCCAGGAGCAGTGGCTCATACCTGTAATCCCAGCACTTAGGGAGGTTGAGGCAGGTAGATCACTTGAGGTCGGGAGTTTGAGGCCAACCTGACCAACATGGTGAAACCCCATCTCTACTAAAAATAAAAAAATTAGCCAGGCATGGTGGTGGGCACCTATAATCCCAGCTACCCAGGAGGCTGAGACATGAGAATAGCTTGAACCCAGGAGGCAGGGGTTGTAGTGAGCCAAGATCGTGCCATTGCAGTCTAGCCTGGGTGACAGAGCGAGACTCAGTCTCAAAAAAATTTTAAAAAAAGAAGAAAAAAGTTTATTAGATATAAACAGATGAGTATATTTTCTGTGTAATCTACCTATTTGCTTTCATCATGAATTTCTTGACTTCTCTGAAGTGAAAAGTAATCTGTTAAACTCCCAATCCTAAAAAGGTAAGACATCTTTCAAGTAAAATACTTTCTTATTTAGTTTTATTTAAGATATTACGCCTCTTGTCAATTTACTGTACTCCTTTTTAACTTCTAACTGTATAAACGACTATACTATTTTTTTAAATTGCAGTATAAACATAAAGAAAATGATTTGGCAAAATGCAACTATAGACATATTTTTACCTGCAAGAAGTCAATCTGCATACACATGCTAGGTAACTTTGGTGACAAAAAACAAGTGTCCGTCATGAAGTTTTCATACTCAATGCTCTCTGGAAACTGACTGCATCCTAGCTGTGAGCTGTGTCCTCTGACCATTAAACCACTAGCGGCTGATCCTTTTACTTGATGCCCTTGAAACTCAACAGGCTACAGGTAAATTATTAAAAATAAGAACTGCATAACAATATCTTGACATATATAGTCACAAAGTCAACACATAGAATATAATACATAATTCAGCTTTTTATTACCAGGAACTAATGTAAACAATTACCAGGAGTTGAAAACCAGAAAATTCTCCTGTTACCCTAAAACATGTTATGGGTAACTAATTCAAAGTACATCAATTCAATTTAACTGCATTTAAGTTCAACATTAGAAAGTATGATTTAGGCTGGGCACGGTGGCTCACATCTATAATCCTTGTGCTTTAGGAGGCTGAGGCAGGCAGATCACTTGAGGTCAGGAGTTCAAGCCTGGCCAACATGGTAAAATCCCATCTCTACCAAAAATACAAAAAATTAGCCGAGCGTGGTGGTAGGCATCTGTAATCCCAGCTACTTAGGAGCCTGAGACAGGTGAATCTCTTGAACCCAGGAGGTGGAGGTTGCAGTGAGCTGAGATCATGCTTCTGCCCTCCAGCCTGGGAGACATAGCAAGACTCCGTCTCAAAAAACAAAAAAGTGTAATTTATAGCCAATGAAGGGGGGAAAATGAATAAGTATAATTTTATTATGAGTATAAAGATGAGTATAATAATATTGGCTAATTAAACCAGAAATATTTAGTTGCTTCTTTCTCTATGTTTCCACTATATATTACACAACTGTGCATTACATACAATATTATACATTACAGACTTACAACTTCATACTACAATGAAGTTTTTCCTTATTTCTATACTAATTGCACTGTAAGCCCCTTGATGGCAGAGATCTTATACTTTATCTAGGTATCATCTGTATTTAACACAGTACTTGGTGTACAGGAAGCAATCAATAAACAGCCAATAATAGAAAAGGAAAAATGAGAAAGAGTGCAAAGAGCATTTCTCTTTACTTAGGGGTTTTTGTAAAATATCAGGCTTAACTGCAGGATGGGTGGTGGACTCTCTGCCTCTCAATAGAAAGATGTGATATCCTACTGCTCTGAGAGCAAATGCCTAAGAGTGTGGTTCCAATACAGTTATGTTCCTTAGAGAGGTTCTTTCATTCAGTCAGCTTTCAGGCTTCAAATGGCTTTCTCTGCTGCCCCCTGGAGGGTTCTAGGATTTTTACTCCATACAAAGTAAAGCCCACTCAAAATGTAAAAAAATATGACTAATTAAATAGAGTCAAAGGAATGTAGATAGTGGATTAATTCATTTTTAACTAACAAAATGACAATAATATATAATTTGAATATACTCTTATTCAAAGATGAAGACTGTAAGTCACACATTTGAAAGAAAAATCTAATTAAAATGCCCCTTTAATAGGACTTTGGTGGAAAATAACCTTCTGAATTTTAAATTACAGGCTCACACCTGTAATACCAACACTTTGGGAAGCTGAGGCAGGTGGATCACCTGAGGTTGGGAGTTCGAGACCAGCCTGACCAACATGGAGAAACCCCGTCTCTACTAAAAATACAAAATTAACCGGGCATGGTAGCACATGCCTGTAATCCCAGCTACTCTCAAGGCTGAGGCAGGAGAATCACTTGAACCTGGGAGGCAGAGGTTGCGGTGAGCCGAGATCATGTCATTGCACTCCAACCTGGGCAACAAGAACAAAACTCCATCTCAAAAAAAAAAAAGAAAACATAAACATTGCAATAAAAATGAGTCTCAACTGTTAAAGATTCTATATATTTCTGTTTTGTATGATGGGTAATGTACACTCCCCACAAGGAAATAGGTACCTTGCCTTCTCTCTCTCTCTTTTTTTTTTTGAGACAGAGTTTTGTTCTGTCACCCAGGCTGGAGCACAATAGCACAGGTTGACTCACTGTAACCTCTGCCTCCCAGGTTCAAGTGATTTTCATGCCTCAGCCTCCAGAGTATCTGGGACTACAGGTGTCTATCACCACACCTGGCTAGTTTGTGTATTTTTAGTAGAGATGGGATTTTGCCATGTTGGCCAGGCTGGTCTCAAACTCCTGGCCTCAAGTGATCCACCTGCCCTGGCCTCCCAAAGTGCTGGAATTATAAGCAGGAGTCACTGTGCCTGGCCAAAATAGGTACCTTGCTTTCTATACACCATGGAGATCTCTTCCAGAGATGTCTTGGGTTTTAGGAGTAGAGCTCCTATTTACATTTTTATGCTGTTGTCTATTAATTTTTTTATATAGAATAGGTAGCACTACTTAGAGCTTGGTTGTATACACTTCTATATATTCAGAAGTATAAGTGGTAGAATAGACTATAATAAGTTAAAAGCTATAAAGACATTCATTTTGTTCCCCACAGAGTATTCATTAGTTGTACTCTACATGGCTTTGTGTCCAACCCCTAGTGTACCCTATGTATGGAAGGATCCTGTAAACACTGTGTTACTAGCTCATTAGTAGTACAGAGAAAGTTCAAGACCAAAAAGGGGCAGGAGTCAATTAGTTTTTCTTGTTCATAAAACCAGATTCATTTATTATGCTACTAAACTTCTGCCTGTGAAAACTCTGATACTTGAGTTAAAAAAAAAAAAAAGAGAGAGAAATTATAATTTGCTAGAGAGATTGATGTTCTTCACAAAGTTTACCTTAGGATCAGAGGTTTTCCTGTCTATTTGTTTAGGAATAACAGCTAGAAAAGCAGTCTCTTCTTTACTTCCCAAGGAAGAGAACTAGAATAAAACATCAGTAAGTTATCTAGTTAGCTAGAATAGTTTCACAAGTGGTTCATGATTTTGATGGAAAAGTAATTGCAAAACTGAAGTTTGCCCTGTGAAAACACACTTGCCATCTCTATCTTGCTTTTCTCTACACAAACATACAAGTTATATCTCCCTGGCAAAGGGGTACTCTAGTGGATAAGTAATTTGAAAACTTACCATATTAGAAAACTCTGATTCTAAATTTTTTTTTTTTTTTTTTGAGATGGAGTTTCGCTCTTGTTACCCAGGCTGGAGTGCAATGGCACGATCTCGGCCTCCTGGGTTCAGGCAATTCTCCTGCCTCAGCCTCCTGAGTAGCTGGGATTACAGGCACGCGCCACCGTGCCCAGCTAATTTTTTGTATTTTTAGTAGAGATGTGGTTTCACCATGTTGACCAGGATGGTCTCAATCTCTTGACCTCGTGATCCACCCGTCTCGGCCTCCCAAAGTGCTGGGATTACAGGCTTGAGCCACCGCGCCCGGCCTGATTCTAAATTTTTAATTAAATCTTTGAACACTAGAAAAAATTGCCATGTACATAATAAATCTCCTGTCAAACCTAACACTATGTTAATGTAGATCATTTATTTTTAAATTAGTAAGAAATGAAGGGAAGAAAAATGGAAACAGTGTAACTGACTATTTGAAGAATGAATCATCTCATAGCAATCACAAAACACATGATATTGATAACAGCAACCATTCATTATTAGTTCATCAAGTAATATACAAAATAACCATAATTTTTCATAAGACTTGGATAGACAGAGAAAATGAATTGTACTACAAAAATAATTGTTTAAATGTTTAACAAATATGGAGAAAAAAACACTTTCCTAACAGACCGAAGAGGTAAAGTAGTCTATTTCTTCAAATAATGGCCACTTTCCTTTAATAACACTTATATATAAACACAACTGCCAACCAAGTAGTTCTTAAAAATATTCAATCTATATTTTAGAATCAGAATTTTCTTTTCTTTTCTTTTCTTTTTTTTAGACACAGTGTCTTGCTCTGTCACCCAGGCTGGAGTGCGGTGGCGCAATCATTGCTCACTGCAGCCTTGACCTCTGGGCTCAAGTAATCTTCCTGCTTCAACCTCCTGAGTAACTGAAACTAGGCCAGCTAGTTATTCTTATTTTCAAAATTTTTTTTAGAGATGGAGTCCCACTGTATTGCCCAGGCTGATCTCAAATTCCTGGCCTCAAATGATACTCCTGTCTTGGCCTCCCAAAGTGTTGGAAGTACAGATGTGAGCCACTGTACCCAGCCAGAATTACAATTTTCTAATATACAGTTTTCAAAATTCTCTGTTGGAATAGCTCTTTTGCTATGTGTAGTTAATTACACTTTCACAAATGAGGCAGAAGTGGCATTAAAAACATTCTATATTTTGGTGAGAGGTTGTTTCAGTGTTGTAGTAAAAAAGAGCCATTATAGGCTGGGTGCATGCCTACAATCCCAGCACTTTGGGAGGCTGAGGTGGGAGGATAGCTCGAGACCAGGAGTTTGATACCAGCCTGAACAATACAGTCAGACTCCATCTCTACAAATAATTATCCAGGCATGGTACTGTACACCTGTGGTTCCAGTTATTTGGGAGGCTGAAGGAGGAGGATGGCTTGAGTGCAGGAGGCCAAGGTTGCAGTGAGCTGTGATTGTGCCACTGTACTCTAGTCTGGGTGACAGAATAAGAACCTGTCTGAAAAAAGAAAAAAAAAAATTACAAAAATACAAATGTATTCCTATTTTCAAGCTAAAAATAGATTTAATCAATTTTCATTCCAAAAGGTTAAGACCTTTTCATTACTGTGGAATGACAGCATATTTTTGTTGTTTTGTTAATGAGAGGAAGATTACACTATGTCTCATGATGTTGCCCAGGCTGGACTCTAAGTCCCCAGATCAAACAATCCTCCTGCCTCAGCCTCCTGAGTAGCTGGGATTACAGGCATGGGCCACTGTTCCCAGCTTCAACAGACTTTTAAAAAATGTGTGATATTTAAGTGGTAACTCATTTTAAGGGAAAAAATAGTGATAGTGTTTATCTGTAGTTTATGCTTTGTGATACCTATCTTTTAAAAAATTTAAACCTTATTTCTTTCAAGTGAAAAAAGGAATATGATAATTTGTAAGCTAAATTATGTAGTTGCTAATTATTTATAATTTTATATGTATAATCTTGTTATATAAAGATAAAAAACGGCAATAAATCATAATACAGATATTTTTGTTTTATTTTGTTCTGTTTTAGACAACAGAGCTATAGGGGCAATTGTCAATGACTCATGGATTTGGCAATGCTTGCAAATTTGCAAAATTAACTTCATGGTAAAGAAGTTGTTATTTAGGCTTGGCGCAGTGGCTCACACCTGTAATCCCAGCACTTTGGGAGGCCAAGGTGGGCAGATCATGAGGTCCGGAGATCAACACCATCCTAGCCAACATGGTGAAACCCCGTCTCTACTAAAAATACAAAAATTAGCTAGGCATGGTGGTATGTGTCTGTAATCCCAGCTACTCAGGAGGCTGAGGCAGGAGAATCCCTCGAGCCAGGAAGTTGGAGGTTGCAGTGAACTGAGATCGCACCACTATTCCAGCCTGGTGACAGAGTAAGACTCCGTCTCAAAAAAAAAAAAAGAATTTGTTATTTAACCAAATTATATTGATCTTATAGTACATTTATATTAAATCAATATCACTACAAATGATTTCAAAAACTAACAATATGTAATGCAAACAAATTTATTTACAAACTTAAAATTATATGTCATACCTATATATAAAAATATATACACAAATATAATTTGGCTAATTCATACTTTAAATAACTTACCTGCAAAGACTGAAGTGGTTCACTTAGTTCAACTTTATCTTCTTTTAGTATCTTAGGAATAAAATATTAATATAAGTTAAACCAATAAGCAATAATAATTTAGAAAACAAAAACATAAATTTCTATTAGACTTAAGAAATACTAGAACACCATCACTAATATGAAATAAAAACTGGCCAGGCATTGTGCTCACACCTGTAATCCCAACACTTTGGAGGCTGGGGCTGAAGGATTGCTTGAGCCCATGAATTTGAGACTAGCCTGGGCAACACAGTGAAACCTCATCTGTGTGGCGGCATGCAACTGTAGTCCCAGGTACTCAGGGGGCTGAGGCAGGAGTATCACTTGAGCCCAGGAGGTCAAGGCTGCAGGGGCCAATCATGCTACTGCAGTCCAGCTTGGGCAACAGAGCAATATGTTGTCTCAGAAAAAAATAAATAAAAACTAAAATCCTGATTAAACAGTACTGTCACTTAGCAAGAATTTAAAAAGCTCTCAACAGTACTAGTAAAATTGAAGTAAAATAAATATTCTAATTGTAAAACATTAAAATTTTTATATTTGAAAATATCATGGCCTGGCATGGTGGCTAATGCCTGTAATCCCACTCTGGGAGGCTGAGGCAGGCGAATAACCTAAGGTCAGGAGTTTGAGATCAGCCTGGCCAACACAGAGAAACCCTGTCTCTACTAAAAACACAAAAATTAGCTGCACATGGTGGCATGTGCCCATTGTGTCAGGTACTTGGGAGGCTGAAGCAGGAGAATCGCTTGAATCCAAGAGGCGGAGGCTGCAGAGAGTCAAGATTGCACCACTGTACTCCAGCCTGGGCAAGAGAGTGAAACTCCGTCTCCAAAAAAAAAAAAAAAAAAGAAAATATCAAGAAAGACAGTTGTTCCTAGGCTTCTAAATAATTAGTTCTGCTTCTGGAATCAAATCTAAGGAAGAAACTTAAAATGCAAACAACGATTTATGTGCAAAAATATTTATTAAAGTGTTACTTATGAGAGCAAAATGCTGAAAATTATTTAAATGACAAAAATAGAGAACTGTTTGTCCAAAGCACAAGAAAGCCATAGGATGGATGGTAAATAACCTTTAAAACGTATGATTAAGAAGAATTATTAATAACATTAGATAAAACAATGATATTAAGGGGAAAGGATATAAAGTTATTTATACACAACAATCTAACCATATTTTTTAAACTGGGCACACACAAAAAAAATCTGGAAACATTAATAAATATTCTAAGAGGTAGGGTACGTTTTATTTTTTCCTGATTTCTATATTTAGAAAAAAATTAAGATTATTAAAAGGACCAGTAACATAGAAAATAAAGTAAGATATAAAATGGAGGCAAGTGAGGCCGGGCACGGTGGCTCATGCCTGTAATCCCAGTACTTTGGGAGGCTGAGGCAGGCAGATCACCCGAGGTCAGGAGTTGGAGACCAGCCTAACCAACATGGTGAAACCCCATCTCTACTAAAAACACAAAAATTAGCCAGGCATGGTAGTGCGTGCCCGTAATCCCACCTACTCGGGAGGCTAAGGCAGGAACATCACTTGAACCTGGGAGATGGAGGTTGCAGTGAGCCAAGATTGTGCCACTGCACTCCAGCCTGGTGAAAGAGCAAGACTCTGTCTCAAAAAATAATAATAAAAATAAAAAATAAAATAGAGTAAGTGAAACATTCTACTTGCTTTTTTTTCCAAACATGTCTATAGAACTGACCCTTCTAAAGTACTAATGACATCCCCACTGAGAGAAATACTCATCGGATGATTTATCCTAGAATTTCAATTCATCCTAATTAGAACTTTTTTTTTCTTTTTTTGAGATAGTCTCACTCTGTCACCAGACTGGAGTGCAGTGGTGCAATCTCGGCTCACTGCAACCTCCGCCTCCCAGGTTCAAGTGATTCTCCTGCGCCAGCCTCCCAAGTAAGCTGGTATTACAGGTATGCGACACCACACCCAGCTAATTTTGTATTTTTAGTAGAGACAAGGTTTCTCCATTTTGGTTAAGCTGGTCTCGAACTCCCTACCTCAGGTGATCCACCCACCTCAGCATCCCAAAGTGCTGAGATTACAGGCGTGAGCCACTGCACCCAGCCCTAGAACCACCATTTTTTATATAACTACTGTGGTTTGGTTCCCAAACTGTGCAACAAGGTACTCTGGGGTGGCACAATGAACTCACAGGAACTCCACAAGATGTTTTACATGTAGGGAAACAGTGTCACTTGACATCTGTCTGACACTGAGTGAACTACTAACTCCAGGTCTATTTCAACATCAGATCTTGCTACATAACCTTCAATGACATCATGTCTTTGTGAAGTTAGACTCTGAGAAACTGCTATGATAAAAAGCAATTACCATGAAAAAATCAATGTGTAACAAGAATAAGGTGGTGTTACCTAATCTATTCCAAGATTTAAGAAGTTGTATACTGCTCAACAGGTACACATTCCATTAGTAACAGTGTGGTTTTTTGGGGTGTAAATGTAAATATATATATATATATAAAATAGTGCACTTTAGGTTCTGGGGTACGTATGCAGAACATGCAGGACTGTTGCATAGGTACATATATAGCAATGTGGTTTGCTGCCTCCATCCCTGTCACCTGTATCTGGCATGTCTCCCCATGTTATCCCTCCCCAATCTCCCTACCCCTGATTGTCCCTCTCCTATTCCCCTCCAACAGACCCCAGTGTGTGATGCTCCCCTCCCTGTGTCCATGTGTTCTCATTGTTCAACACCCGCCTATGAATGAGAACATGCAGTGTTTGGTTTTCTGTTCTTGTGTCAGTTTAATGAGAATGATGGTTTCCAGATTCATCCATGTCCCTACAAAGGACACAAACTCATCTTTTTTATGGCTGCAGAGTATTCCATGGTGTATATGTGCCACATTTTCCCTGTCCAATCTATCATCGATGGGCATTTGGGTTGGTTCCAGGTCTTTGCTATTGTAAACCATGCCGCAATGAACATTCGTGTGCATGTGTCCTTATAGTAGAACAATTTATAATCCTTTGAATATATATCCAGTAATGGGATTGCTGGGTCAAATGGAATTTCTATTTCTAGGTGTTTAAGGAATCACCACACTGTCTTCCACAATGGTTGAACTAATTTACACTCCCACCAGCAGTGTAAAAGTGTTCCAGTAACAGTGCTTTTTAACAAAATGTTTACAAAGTTACTAGGAAATAAATTACTTAATGCTACTAACTACATAATAAATGAAACTATTAGGTGTTTCTTTTGGCTGATGGATGCAATGAAAAAATTTCTACAATACAGTAGGGGTCATGAACCAAGATAGCTTGGGACTGTATTACTATAATCCTATTACAAATTAAAGAACATTCATATCAAAATAAAAGAACGTACTCTTAGAAAAAAAAAAAAAACCTATACCTGTTGAGAATCCTTGTGCAGATGAGGAGACTCTTGTGAAACTACTGTAGTAAATGGTTTCCTCACTGTAACGGTGAAAGGAAATGATCATGTCATTTTTACATATATCAGTACTCTAAAATTTAACTTATTCGTAAAACCGAGACAAGGAATATAACTTAAACTTTGGTAATGTTTAATCTGGAATGTAGTTATTTGAGGATTCACTGTACTGTTCTGTTTAGATTAAAACATTTTTATGATAAAAATTTTAAAATCTTTAGAATGAAAGCCGTTTCGTTTACTTTCTAAGTCAACCGTAGGAATTTTCCTTGTATTCCTTTTTTACACTAATTAAAAAATAAATACTAAACTAACAGTTATTAACCTATACTAAAACTGCTATAAATAAAGTACTGGACAACTGTTAGGAACAAGAAAGTCAAGACTCCCAGTATATTGTTGCTATGTGCAACCACAGAAAAGAAAAACAAGGTCAGGCATGACGGCTCATTCCTGTAATCCCAGCACTTTGGGAAGCCAAAGCAGGCAGATCACTTAAGGTCAGGAGTTCACACCAGCCTGGCCAACATGGCAAGACCTTGTCTCTATTAAAAATACAAAAATTAACCAAGCATGGTGGTGCACAACTATAATCCCAGCTACTCGGGAGGCAGAGGCAGAAGAATCACTTAAACTCAGGAGGTGGAGGTTACAGTGAGCCAAGATGGTGCCACTGCCCTCCAGCCTGGCTAACAGAGTAAGACTATGCCTAAAAAAAAAAAAAAAAAAGAAGAAGAAGAAGAAGAAGAAGAAGAAAAAGAAAAGAAAAACAGCACTTTGTGCTATTTCTGGTCTATCTTAAATCCATTTCAACTATGGCTTAGGAAAAAAAATTCTACATTCTAAAATATTCACTCAGCAAGTATTTCCCAAGTATAATGTGCCAGGCACTAGGGAAATAACAGTGAATAAGACAAAATTTAAAAAGAAAAAAACCTTGAAAAAAGAGACACAGAAGACAAATAACTAAACCAGATAAATTCAGATGATACAAAATGACATCTCATCAAACAGTGATATGATACAGAACAATTTTTGATACAGGGATCAGGAAATGTTTCTCATGGGAAGTGACATTTAAGTTGAGACTTCAAGAAAAAACTCAGCCATGACAAGGGTAAAAGTGTTCAGGTAAAAGGCCAAATACCAAACTCTGAGGCAGAAAAGTTGGCAAGCATGCAGAATAGAAAGGAGTGCAGCGTGGCTAGTTTTGCTACCTTATCAGGTATCTCTGTAAAAACAGGATTTTTTTGGCCAGGCGCAGCGGCTCGCACCTGTAATTCCAGCACTTTGGGAGGCTGAGGCCAGTGGATCACTTGAGGCCAGGAGTTTGAGACCAGCCTGGCCAACATGGTGAATGAAACCCTGTCTCTACTAAAAATACAAAAATTAGCCAGCTGTTGTGGTGCATGCCTGTAATCCCAGCTACTTGGGAGGCTGAGGCAGGAGAATTGCTTAACCAGAGAGGCAGAGGTTGCAGTGAGCTGAGATCATACATTGCACTCCAGCCTGGGGGACAAGAGTGAAACTCCATCTCAAAAAAAAAAAAGATCTTTTTTATAAATCTAAAATCACAAAAAGACTAATTTTAAAATGATAATTACTACAAAAAAAATCACAGCTATAACTAGTGTAAACTTCATTTTTAGGCAACTGCTATTTATGACTTCATTATTTTCCTGATAAAATTCAGAATAAAATAAAAAGTCATTTTGGAACTTGACATTTCTAAAAGGTTTTTAAAAAATACTAGATGAAAATTGATGTTTTCCTTTACTGCCTTTGCTACAGAATAACATTCTAAATTAACATTTCTAAGCAATATACAATTATCTCACAAAAAAAAAATTGGAGATTTTTTTAACACTTTCACACATTCTAAATTGGTGGCAAAATTTATTCTTCTCCAATTTTGCATTAAACTTCATGAAAGTATGTTATACCCTAGTGATTCAATCTTCTCAAATTGTCTCAAGCAACCAACTTAATCCTATTTAGAGAAATATATTTACATCAAAAAAGCAAATGTAGTCAATCATTCCTCATGGATTCTGCCTACCTCCTAAAGTTTATTTGTGACCCCCAAATCAGTATTGGCTTTACTTTTATGGTCATTTCCAGACAAACATAGAGCAACAAAAAATGAATTGCATGAAGCACATGTTCTCAAGGCAACACTCTTGTCTTCTTGTTTTAGCTTATGCTGTAAACAATTGTCTTTTTCATGGTTGTTTGGTGCTACATTTTTCATTTTTGTGCTTTTTACCAGTAATTTCACAATTTAAAATGTCCTCAAAGAGGCTGGGCATAGTGGCTCATGCCTGTAATCTCAACACTCTGGGAGGCTGAGGTGGTCGGATCACCTGAGGTCAGTTCAAACCAGCCTGGCCAACATAGAAAAACTCCATCTGTAATAAAAATACAAAAATTAGCAGGGCATGGTGGCACACACCTTTAGTCCTAGCTATTTGAGAGGATGAAGTGGGAGAATCACTTGAACCCAGGAGGCAGAGGTTGCAGTAAGCTGAGATTGCACCACTACACTCCAGCCTGGGAAACAGAGTGAGACTCGGTCTCAGAAAAAAAAAAGAATAAATGAGAGGTAAGAAAGTGGAGACTGCGTATGTAGCAAATGCCACTGCACTCCAGCCTGGGCAACAGTGTGGGATTCTATATCAAAAAGAAAAAAAAAAGTCCCCTAAGTATATTGCCGTCTAGTGTTCCCAAGTGCAGGAAGACTGTGATGTTCCTTATGAAGAAAGTGCAAGTGTTAGGTAAGTTTTTTACAGGTAAGAGTTATATTGCTGTTGGCTATGAGTTCAATGCTAATGAATCAACAATACATATTAAAGCCGCTTTAGCGTCTTGGCTGGGCATGGTGGCTCACGTCTGTAATCCAAGCACTTTGGAGGCCAAGGTGGGCGGATCACCTGAGGTCAGGAGTTCAAGACCAGTCTGATCAACATGGTGAAACCCCATCTTAAAAATAAATAAAATAAATAAATAAAGCATCTTTAAGCAGAAACATACATAAAACAAGGTTATGTATTCATGAATTAATGAAAATGTTTTGACCACAGACTTGCAGGAACCTGACCCTGTATTGTATTTCCCCTAGGAGCAAGGCTTTTACTAATTTTGTGTTTTCGTGACTTCACAGAGCTACTGCAAATAATCAGAATCAACTGTAATTTTCTTTTCAACTTGATGAGAGAAGAGTTGGTTTCCCAAAACCAAATTATCATTTTTTGAGATAAAGTTTTGCTCTGTTGCCCAGGCTGTAGGGCTGGGGCATAATCTCTGCTCACTGCAACTTCTGCCTCACAGGTTCAACTGATTCTCCTGCCTCAGCCTCCCCAGTAGCTGAGATTACAGGTGCCCACCACCACACCCAACTAATTTTTCTGTATTTTATTAGAGACAGGGTTTTGCCATGTTGGCCAGGCTAGTCTCAAAGTTCTGACCTCTGGTGATCTGCCCACCTTGGCTTCCCAAAGTGCTGGGATTACAAGCATAAGCCACCACAACTGGCCTTCAAAATGAAATCCTGTAAGACCTAAACCGTCATGCTAGAAATTCAGTCTTATATGGTATCATAAAACTTTGTACTCATAGTTTTCATTAAAGCTTTTTACTTTCTTTCTTTTTTATTTATTTATTTGATTGATTGATTGATTGAGATGGAGTTTCACTCTTGTTGCCTCCAGGCTGGAGTGCAATGGCAGTATTTCAGTTCACTGCAACCTCCACCTCCCGGGTTCAAACGGTTCTCTGCCTCAGCCTCCCAGGTAGCTGGGATTACAGGCTGCCACAATGCCTCGCTAATTTTTTGTATTTTCAGTAGACACAGGGTTTTACCATGTTGGCCAGGCTGGTCTCAAACTCCACCCGCCTCGGCCTCTCAAAGTGCTAGGATTACAGGTGTGACCCACCGTGCCCAGCTACTTTTAATATTTTAGAAAATAAACCAACAATTATCTTCAAACTTAATTACATTTCAAAGAATCATTTTAGTAGGGACAATAAGCTATTTATATTTTTCTTGGGAATCACATGAGATATTCAAATAAAAGTTCAATTTTACCTTCTGAGAGTAGTGCATTGTTCATTTACATTCAAATGTATACATTATTTACTACTGTATTCTTTAAAAGACAATGTTGTTGCCCGTGTACCATAAGGAAAGTCAAAAGATCTGACTGAAAGAAAACATTTACAACATAAATCATAAAGGGCTAATAACGCTAATATATAAAGAACTCTTACAAATTAATAATTAAAAAACTGAACAAATGGTAGATAGAAAAGATAGTTCATGGAAAAAAATTAACAAATGATGTTTAAATATATGAAAAGATGCTCAATTTCACCTGTCCTAGTAAAAATACAAATTTAAAATACAGTAAAAAGGTCAGGCATGGTGGTTCACGCCTGTAGTCCCAGCACTTTGGGAGGCCAAGGTGAGTGGATCACTTGAGGTAAGGAGTTCAAGACCAGCCTGATCAACATGGCGAAACCCCATCTCTACTAAAAATTCAAAATTAGCCAGGTATGGTGGGCATGCAGTAATCCCAGCTACTTGGGAGGCTGAGGCAGAAGAATTACTTGAACCCAGGAGGTGGAGGAGGTTGCAGTGAGCTGAGATCGCACCACTGCACTTCAGCCTGGGCAACAAAAACAAAACTCCGTCTCAAAAAGAAACTAAAAACAAATAAAATTAAATACACTGAAAAGCCATTTCTCATCTATTATATTGGCAAAAATTCAAAAGCTGGGCAATACACTATTGGCAAGGCTGTGGAGAAACAGCCAGTCTTATACATTACTGATGGGAATAATAAATTATTAATTCCTATGAATAATTATATATGTGTGTGTGTGTGTGTGTGTGTGTGTGTGTATCTATATATATATTAGATGGAGTCTGGCTCTGTCACCCAGGCTAGAGTGCAGCAATTCCCCTGTACATGTGCACACCACCATGCCCAGCTAATTTTTTATATTTTTCGTAAAGACCCGGTTT